GAAGGCAGAGACACTACCATATATCGCAATCCATCTTTGAGTTATTGATATAATATGGGATCAGTTATAATTAGGATTTAATTTAGGATATTAGAGTTATCCATTAGGAATATTTAAATATGAATAAAAAAAGGATATTTATTCATGAAAATCAAAATTTATTATTTATTTTATTATTATCTTAGATATCAGTATATTTAAAATTAGATTTAGATTTAAGATTTAAAATTTAAATTTAAATTCTTATTATTTTATTATTTTAGAGCTCTATAAATAGAATTAGGAGTTTTTATTTATATTCAATTTTGAGTACAAAATAATAAGAGTTTCTTTAGCCAAAAAAAAAAAGAACAATAAGAGTTTATATTTTTTCAGCCTTCTTCCTCTCTTTCTTGCTCTCTTCTCTCTCTTCCCCATCCCATTTTACATCAATTTGTGCTAGAGATAGTTGCTATCACACTTTTATTGTCAATCTTATTTAAAAGTATAACTTTTCATTAAGATTTGAAGGTCCAAACAAGACATAGCAAACTCATTATTCAATACTATTTACTAAAGTGCTTTCATCACCTTTCACAAATTTGCCTTACCATTGGATCTTGAAATTTGCAATTTCTTCACTCATTTCTGGCATTGTAAGTAATTTTTTATCTTTTTATTGATTTGAATTTTTGTATTAAAAAAATAAAGAAAGAAGGGAAAAAAGAAAAGGAAAAAGAAAGAAGAAAAGAAAATACTAAGTGAAAAAAAAGAGGAAAAAAAAACCTTGTCATAATGCTTAGTTGCCAATATGAGCCATAGAAGATACATACATTTAGACTATCGATATGAAATGATGATCCATCATAATATGCTCAGTAGTAAGAAGATTATGCTCAATAGTACATATGTAATGAATATTAGCAATGATATGCCTATCCGTCGCAAGATATTGGCAAGAGAGCTATCGGTGTGGTTATGAATAGCAACAATATGAGTACACAAGCCATCAACAATATGAGTAGACTAATTGTAACAATTATGAGCATCGCTATCTTTAATTTGAGTATGCTAATCATAAGTGACATGAGTATGAAGATCAATACCAATATGAGCACATTGAGCAACAATGATACGAGTATATTAATAGCCATTGGCATGATTGTGTTGATCAATATGAGAATGATACTCATTATCATTATGAGTATGCTGACTTTCAAGAGGAAATAGATCAAGTTATAGCTAAACTAGATTGCTTTCAATAAGAATAGAATTGTTATTTTGACAAATTTATGGAAGATTGTGATAAAGTTAATAAGACAACCTATGAAGTTAAGAAGATAGTCAATCAATTGAGGAATGGAAGAACAAGCATCAAGCAAGCCAACAATAGTAAAAGCTCCTTCCTTATCAGTAGAAAATTTTTCAAACAATAATCAAGTTATCCACTATATATTAGTATAAGCGGCTCCTTCTCAAATTATTCCCAGCAAGGATCAACCATAGCTTAATGGTCAAACTTATGCCTTATCTATTGGAAAGGTTTTTCAAAAATTTTACATGCTTAAACCACTCATTCTTGCTAGAGCCTTTTCTTTTGCTACCTAATTTGTTAGAAGGAATTTCCTTATGCTTGCTCATATCAAGTTGCTTGCTCTTACTAGGACTTGCCTTTTTGTACCTTATCTGTTGGAAAGATTTTCAAATTCGAGCACTCAGCTAAAATTTATCCAGTCCTTCTTTGCGCTTGTGCCCTGAAATGGTGTAAATCACGTGATAAAGTGATTGTCATCCAAATCTTAAACCTTGTGATTTGTAAGGAGGTGACGTTTGATTAACAATAATACTCAAGATTCGCTCTTTTACTTTTTTAATTAAGAATGTGAGGTTTGGTTTCCAATTAGTAATAATAGAGATTAATGCCACATGTGGTCAGATTTTATAATCAATATCGAGACAATGGAAGAACTTACAGGCGTAAACTTAACTGATTGATTACGGATGGCTGAAATTAACCACTGCACAATACTGAAAAGTGAAATAAATATATCTGCACATGCCTCTCAGAGTTTACTAGCTATTAGCTAAATATCGAGCTGTTGTGATTTTGGAAGTGACATTTGATTAACAAAACTTACCTAGATTTTCCCTTAATCATATTCTCAATATGAGGCTTCAATTGTCATAATAATTAAGAAAAATGCCATAGACTTCAATCTATCTGATCAGAAGCCTGTGAAATATAATCACGTATTTAATTTACTGAGATTACAAAACTGATTCATTATTATAGAGTTCTGAACCGCTTATACTGAAGCTAAATTATTAAATTAATATAATAATCCAACAAATGCTTTCGATGATAACTAACTTCACGGTTGTTAAAAATAATAATTAACGTCTTTAAATTTGGAGAAAAAAAAAACCGTGCCACTTTTCAATTATATCCTTCACACTGAAATTAATGATCAAAATAAAATGTATATAAGAATTAAAAGCTTGTCAACAACTTGGTGTAATTAACGAGAGATACTATTAAAAATAAATAAATTAACTAATTCTCTCTTTTGTTTTTATTATAGGGCTACTTCTAGAAGGATTTTTCGGTCCTAGGTACTTGATAGGGTCATAGTTATATTTTTATAATATTATCCTTATCTCAGCTCATTACTTATGATAGACAATGTAATGCAAATTAAAAAAAAATATTTAAATAAGGGTAAAATTTGAAATTTAATTTTTTTTTATTTTAAAAAAAGTTAATGAATTAATTACTTTTTCTGGGTTTTGGTGAGGTGGTTGATAAGAAATACTTACTATATCATATGGATTGGAGGGAATACATCTTTACCCCATATTTATGACTAAATAAGACTTTTAGAACTTTGCTTTATCATTAGGACTAGCTAGAAGGAGTATATGGGACAAAAACTTTCAATAGTTATGTTCACGGTACTCCTAATCAATTAAGGCCGTTCAATTCAGTGCTGGTGTCAATGTAACGATTTAATTTGTCCAATGGAATGCTGAGTTATATTAATGATGAACTCTGAATGAAAGTGGCTTAATGACAAATTAGTTCGTGTGGTGCATTCTTCCTAGACAAATAGGTAGTGTTTGGCATCAAATCTAATCATTTCAAGTCTAAATTTAAAAAAAAAAAATCATTAATTTGCAGTGAGATCTCTCCTTATTGGAAAACAATATGAAAAATTATAGTTCAATTGACTTCTATTTCGGAATATATATATATATATATATAATAAATGTCAACTAAACTTTCAAATATTTATTATTATAGCACTCTATTGAAAATACTATTTACTTATTTATTACACTTCACGAAGGCTTAAAGGTCAAAATATCCAAAAACTAATAATGGGTAAGGTGGGACTTTTTAAGGAAATTCATGACAAAAATAAAGCCAGCTCACCTTGTATTCTCGCAAGGAGAAAACTTATATATTTAACATTTATTTGTATCTAATTAAATTATAACATGTGAATCTTTTATAGATTATTTATTTTATAATAAATTTTTTTATTGATTAATATATTAATATGCACATGTTATGATTTGATTGGATATAAATATATTAAGTATATAAAGCTAAGTGTATAAGTCTTGCCCTTCTCACAATATGTAAAGATAGCTTGTCCTATTAAAATTTGCATACTATCTACAAATAAAAATAAAAAATGAAGAATAAACTCTGTCTATGAGAACAACCCACAATAAAGCAACTAAGAGCAGAAGTAATTGTTGGAGTTTTTATATTTGTGTGTTAAAATAAGTCTTAAAATGCTCAAGCTTAAGAAACCTTAGTATATATACATTGAGATAAGAAAATCTGAGCAATTAAACAGGTTAAGAGAAGTAGACTCTCCCACATAATAATGGCCAATATAATTGAGATTTGACTTTTTTCCCTGTGCGCGAATTAGATGCAATGTCAAGTACTTTAATTACCATTAATTAATTCTAATCACAATGTTCAAAAACAATTTTCTAGAATAATCATTAAACCATGTTTAATCATATCTAAGCCCATTGAAGTATATTTAATCGTTCTTAAAATCACCCATGATTTTTCAGCTTATATAAGCTTGTGCCTGCGACTTGTTTATACACAATGTTCTAGAGTCTTCAAGCTTTTCTCTTCTTTTTCTTGGCTTATTCCTTTCTAATTTATATTTCTATTGTTCCATCACCTAGTTCATTTTAGAAAAGGGTTTCACTTCGTCTTAGGGAGCTACTAACGATAGTGCTGAAATATCTTATAAAACAGAGTTCTTTGGCAAGACTGGAAACAGATTTTCTGCAGGATTTTTCAACAGTAATAATATGCGTGGCACCAAAAATAAAATTGAACCAATAATTGGTTAGTCACTACCATATGTATTTGATACGTGTTTATATAATATTAAATGTGGCAAATAGCCTCTACAGTAAGGCGATGAAGCACGCAACGTGGGGCTTGGACTGCTAATGTTGAAAACAACATAAAGCACAGAGAAGCTAGTTGGTGAAGTGGGTGTCCTCATTTGGATCCATTCAATTCAACAAGGTCGTACACATGTCCTGTGTATGGTTTTCAAATTTCAAAACCTTGATTGTTTTCATTTAAAGGAACATATTAAAACATCTCAACTTTGAACTAATTGACTCCTTAACAACAAAATCCCATAAAATTGGTGCCCTGGCCTCGACTGTGTGATATATCATATTGTTTTATTTATATAAGCGAAGCTTATTGACCACATATGTCGATCGAATTAACCAACGAAAGGATGGGTCACTGAAACACTCAATTCCTATTTGTACATCGAATCGCTAAATTACAATTAGTAATTACTTAATGTGCACTCTAAAGTTCAACTGGACCAACAGCTATAATCAGACCGAACGTTTTAAGATAGATGACTACCACAAAATGGACCAGAACAGTGCCTGCTTCCACAGATCTTAAATTTTAATTCTTCCCACAGGGGCTATAATATCTGCAGTATCAGCATAAAGTCCTCTATATATTAAGCAATCTGGTCCCCAACACAAACACGCACGTAAGAAACAATATGGCTGTCTCTCACTTTCCTTCTTCTTTATTCATGGTCCCCTCCGCGAGAACTTCATTGCTGCTTGGTTTATGGGTTATGTTGCTGTTTCCTGAGCTTGCAGCAAGCGTGACGAGGCACTATACCTTCAATGTATCGATAGCATTTTACACGGATCAGACTTTTTTTTTTTAATGTCATCGTATACTTATATTTTGTTTCGTCATCATCTGATATATTCCAGTTTGGTTTTGCAAGATCGAGTATCTGAACGTGACAAGGTTGTGCCACACAAGGAGCCTTTTGAGTGTGAACGGGAAATTCCCAGGACCTCCTTTAGTGGCAAGGGAAGGTGATAGGGTTGTGATTAAGGTGGTTAACCATGTTTCTAACAATGTATCTATTCATTGGTACGTATATAATATCTTCATCTTAATTATCATAATTAATTTAAAACAAATTCACCAGAGAATTTATATTTTTTGGACAACATTATTAAACTGGTCGAGTGGTGGTGTTTACAGGCATGGTGTACGTCAACTGATGAGTGGGTGGTTCGACGGGCCATCATACGTGACGCAGTGTCCAATTCAAACGAACCAGTCGTTCACATACAACTTCACCATCACAGGACAGAGAGGAACGTTACTGTGGCATGCTCACATTTCATGGCTCAGAGCAACCCTTTACGGACCCATCATCATCCTCCCAAAGCACAATGACTCTTACCCTTTCCCGAAACCTCACAAGGAAGTCACTATTCTCTTAGGTATACATATGACGATCACGATTATTATCATAGCTATTCATTATGCACTTCATTTTTCGTGATGAATATTCTTCCAGCTTGCTTCAACTAGTGTAATTTTGCAGGAGAATGGTTTAACGCAGACCCAGAAGCTGTTATAAGTCAGGCCTTGCAAACCGGAGGAGGACCCAATGTTTCAGATGCTTACACCATCAATGGCCTTCCAGGACCCTTGTATAATTGCTCTTCTAAAGGTTCCCAAACATTAAGCCTTCCAACCATGCATGCTCTTCAATATATATATATATATATATAACTAAAGGCGTTAAGTCAAATTGATTGGTTATGCCGAGATATAAGACATTATTTTAATCCTAAATATATAGAATGTATGCCTGCATGCATACACAGCCATATCTTTAATATCACTATAAATTATTCTGAACGCATCACTGCATGATTGTATCTCCGTACGTGCAGATACATACAGGCTAAAGGTCAAGCCAGGGAAGACATATCTGCTACGGTTGATCAACGCTGCACTCAACGACGAGCTCTTCTTCAGCATTGCCAATCACTCACTCACCGTCGTTGAAGCCGACGCCTCCTACGTCAAACCCTTTGACGCCACCATTATCTTCATATCCCCCGGCCAAACCATGAACGTTCTTCTCAGAACCAAACCTTTCTTCCCCAACGCCACCTTCCTCATGACGGCGCGTCCCTACTTCACCGGCAGCGGAAGCTTCGACAACTCCACCGTCGCCGGCATCCTCCAATACATACATCCTTCTCAACACCAATCTCCCGTCGTCAACAATCTCACCCTCCTCCAGCCAACCCTCCCACCCGTAAATGCCACGAGCTTTGTCTCAAATTTCTCGTCACAATTCAAGAGCTTGGTCACTGCTAAATTCCCAGTCAGTGTGCCTCAAAAAGTGGACAAGAGCTTCTTTTTCGCTGTGGGGCTCGGCACAACCCCTTGTCCCATAAACACGACATGTCAGGGACCAAGTAACACGACCAAATTTGCAGCCTCGGTGAACAACATATCTTTCGCACTTCCATCGGTTGCTCTTCTACAGTCCTACTACTTGGGGCGGTCTAATGGGGTGTACAAGACAGATTTTCCGGTGAAACCTCTGAACCCTTTCAATTACACAGGAACGCCTCCGAATAACACTAATGTGAGCAACGACACGAAACTGGTGGTGTTGAAGTTTAATACGAGTGTGGAGGTGGTGATGCAAGGTACTAGTATTCTTGGGGCCGAGAGCCACCCTCTGCATCTTCATGGGTATGATTTCTTTATTGTCGGACAAGGTTTTGGAAACTATGACCCTAACAAAGACCCTGCCAACTACAATCTGGTGGACCCGGTCAAGAGAAATACGGCTAGTGTTCCGTCTGGTGGTTGGATTTCCATCCGTTTCTTCGCAGACAACCCAGGTAACATAGTTGTAATTACTCTTACAGACATAGTTTCCAGCACGTAAGTGAAGAGGAGTACAGACAATCATATAAAAATATAAACAAGTTAAAAGCTGATATCATTGAAGAATTTGTTATGAAACTACTTAGGAAAGCTTTTTAGGAGGACAACTTTTTTTTTTTTTTTGGGAATTTTAGGCAGAGATTTATAAATAAGACATGGTTACACGATGAAAAGTACATAATGTAATAGACGCGTGTTTATTAACTTGGTCTTCATAATTTTACCTATAACCAGTTTACCTAAGAATTACTAATCAATATATTGAGTTCGTATTATAGAGTAATAATTATTTTACTGATATCTTCGTTAGATAATAATATTAAAACGATCAACTTTATTAACTTGGTCTTCAATATTGCTTCATACATTGAATACTGCTCAGTCCACCACTTGGCTAGCTATCAGGGTCATATTAAAGAAACCGCCCCCACAGCGCGCGCGCGCGCGCGCACTCCCCCCTCCCCCTCTCCCCCCACATCAAGTTCCTTTCTGCATTACCAGAAAGGGATGAACTTATTTTCTTTACAATCGTATCTCTGAAACCATTTCATTACGCTGTTCCTTGGTTGAGTGTAAAAAAAAGTGTACAAGATGACCTGTCCATATTCATTAATCTCTGTTCTTAAACTCGTTACATGATTACTGTGCGTGCGTGTAGATGAATAAGCAATAGGATATAGTTCATCACTTCTTTGTCTTTCCTTGTTGATAACATACAGTTTTTCGATCACTTTAATTAATAGTGCAGAAGAACATCATGATGTCTAAAAGGTGGTGGATGCAAGTAACATAGTAGGAGACAGAGATATTTTGGACAGAAATTATAACAATTTGTGTCTTAAAGAAAGTGTCGAATAACATAAATGTAGATAGAACGCCATTATCACAAACTAATTCCTGAACCAGAAAGAGCAGTGTGAATATCACCATATCTCACATCATTGCTGAAGTTTACTTTTTCAGTTGAGAAGGACTTGAGCTAGAATTTGGAATCCAAAAGGAACTTAATTAATTAATTCTTAAGGAACTTAGTTAATCTGCTAATGTGACAAAACAGGGGTATGGTTCATGCACTGTCACCTAGACGTGCACACAAGCTGGGGCTTGAGGATGGCATGGCTGGTACAGGATGGAGCAGCGCCGAACCAGAAGCTGCCACCACCTCCTTCTGATCTTCCCCAATGTTGACTTTGATTATTGATGAGTGATTGCCACGTGGGTCCTCAAAATAATGGACTCTTGCTTCAGATCTTCCCGAGTCATTTTACCTTTCTGAGTTCAATAATGAAATATGGGAATCGTGAACTTCTTTTATTTGATGTATTTAAGGATAAAACTGGTGAGGGTGACGTCATTGGGTTTTGTTTAGGGAATTGAACTGAATGTTACGACGTCGTTGTCATGTTGAGTTGGTAATTTGGTTGTTGACATGGGCTGTTCAACTTACTGGAACAGTCAGAGGGAGTTTGCCTTTTAGTTTGATTCATTATTCTTCAAATTAATAAAAAGCTGTTAGTTTGACATGCTCTCTCACTTGCTGTTTTGCTTCTGATTAAAGGCGAAGTGTTATATTTGTCTGCCACGTTAAAAAGTGTTTTAACATGATTATTTCTTAAAACTTGGATAAAATAAATTTATGGGAAGTTGACCCTTTGCGCCTCGAAGTTGCAAACTCAATCATGAAGTACCTCATTGAAGAAATTCTATCTCTGCTCTCAAGACATTTCATTTTTTTTTTTTTGGCCAGTCAAGACATTTCATTGCATATACAGGAATACTAAATTCACTTATATTTTTGAGTAAATAATTTTACCTTTTACAAAACATAATGTTTGTCTTTTGATGAGGGATGTAGTGGTGGTATTTGGCGTTTGTTGTATAATAAATTCAAAGTTGTGGGGGTAATCTTGCGTCACCGTCAATCTATTCATTTAAAGATTGAAAGCTTTAAGAACGAGAAATGGCTTCTCACCATTGTTTATGCGAGTCCAAATGCTATGAAGAGAAGGGAGTTGGGGCATGAATTGAAACATTTTAATAGCTAGTCAACTTCAATTTGATGCTTAGATCATTGGTGGAGATTTTAGTGCAACACTGTTAGGAAGTGAGCGCCATTCGCTTGCTGCCTCCAGAACCTCTTGTGACAGGGATTTTGGGATTTGTGTGGATGAAATGTCCTTGATTGACCTTGGGTTTGTGGGTCGCCCTTTCACTTGGAAGCGTGGTAACAGTGAGGCCTGTCTTGATCGCTTTCTGGTTAATGAACAATGGACGAGATTGTTTCCAAATGCAAATGTCATGCATCTGCCAAATTTTAAATCTGATCATCGCCCCATCTTGCTTAAAAGTGAGGATGTTCTGTGCAGGGAGAACGTCCATTTCGTTTCATTGCCTCTTGGTTACTACATATAAATTTTAATGTTCTGTTAAAGAAAAAATGGAACACGCAGTTAGGGTGGAATGAAAATATTTCTCAATTTGCTGAGTCTTGCAAGGATTGGGATAAAAATGTGTCTGGTCATACTGAACTGAGAAAGAAGCAGCTTTTGAGAAGATTGAATGGAATTACGCATGCTATTGCTGGAGGCCGCAATATTTCTTTTTTTGAGGAGCTACAATTACAACTTTGAAAGGAGTTAGAAGATGTGAGCATTCAAGATTCTTTTCTTTGGGCGCAGAAGGCCAGATTAAAATGGCATTTGCTGGGAGACCATAATGCAAGGTTCTTTCATTCTTATGCTGATCAGAAACGCAAAAATAATAACGTTGAGGCTTTGAAGGGTGATGATGAAAGTTGGTGTTATGATTAGGAACTCATTAAAAATATTAATTTTGATTTTTTTTTTTTACTCCTTGTTTCGGGAAGAAAAGGAAGACAAAGTTCCTATTGTTAGTGATGTGATGTATCCTTCTGTAATGACCAAAAAAAAATTAAATTAATTAATAATAATAATAAAATAAAATAATAATAATTAAATTAAATTAATTAAATTATCATAAAGTGTTTAAAGTGTATTTTTATTATTTTTCAAGTAAAAATAGGTCAAGGAGGAACTGTGGTCCAGTGAACTTTATGCAAATTACATAACTAATCTGTATTAAATTTCAATTTTCATGAGGCTAAGAGTGTCATTTTCATCTTTTAACTTTGGGTCAAGGCAGAATTACAAAAATGCCATTCTATTAAAATAAATAAATGGAAGATAGAGAGACAGGAGAGCACGGCTTGTTCATTCTCCCTTGGATTTTTTTTTCTAGAACTATCGCGAGAGAGCGTGGCAGAGAGGAGCTGAACCAGAAAACACATGCCATCTCCGTCTCTTTCTTCCTCCTTCGTCTTCAACTTAGCCGCTGCGCGTGCGAACGTGTCGTTGCTGTCCTAGTTCATAGCTTCTTCCTTTTCCTCTGTTTCTCACTGTCGGACCCTTCTTTTTCCTTCTCCATTCTGTCTGACGGAGGGTGGCAAGCACGTGAAGATCCGAGCTGTTGTTGGAAGTCCGAGTATGTTTCTTCCACCCCTGCTCGCAGCATCATCCCCTTCTTCCTTCCACTGTCTCTCGCTGCAGAATTTCTGCTTCTCTTGTTCGTTTGTGCTGCTGTAAATTCTCTCCTCCCCTGTTCTGCGATTCCACGTGTTGGTCTGGGTGTGCACGTTGGAGTTTTGATCTTCCCCTTCATTCTTTGTTCTTCTGCAGCAGTGTTGATCATGTGAGTGTGGTTGGATCTTACTTCTTCTCCTTTCTTTTCTGCTGTGTGCACGTGATGGTAAGAGGGAGGTTTGAAAATTTTTCTTCTTCCCTCTGTTTTAGTTGCAGCTTAGGAGTGGAGAAAATAAAGATGCATTTTCAAGTTGAAATTAAAGGTTAAGGAGTTCATTTGAGGTAAGTGCCCACTTAAATTGCTGTAGTTATTGTAAGAGGAAGAGGAAATCGGTGTTCTTTAGGATGAGATTGGTTAGTGGAAAGGAATTAAAGCTGGGAAGCATTATTAAATTTAAATAATGATGATTGATGAATTGAAATCAATATTAATTTTGTGAAACTTTTTGAAAATGGAATTAAAAGAGAAAGTAAGAGGGAATTATGGATTAAAGATTATGCCTGTGAGATATTTGATAAAGTGCTTATTAGGAGAATTAGGCTTATGATGACAAGATATATGTGATAATTATTTTATTGTTAATTAGATAATAATTGGAGGAAAATCCCCTTAAATAGATGATGGAAGTTTGATTAGTTCACATATTAATATTGAGAAATTTTAGAAAGGATAGTGAGAAAGAAGAGACTTGGTATTTGTTTAAATTTTGATAAATATAATAAGATATTCGATAAAATGCCTGAAAGGAAGAATCTTATTGGATGGTGGAAGATATATGATGATTTTATTATTGATAATTAAAATTATTATAGGAGGCAGCTATTCTCCATAAAGAAAGTTAGAATTAGAGATAGAGATGTTTTGAAAGAGTGTTTCTTTACTTGATAATCCAAGGACGAATTTGCTATTTAAATATTAGTCTTTGAAATATCTATAAGTGTTGAGAAAGGTTGAATTTAAGAATGTCTACATCATCATCGTCAATCATTTTGAATTGGTAGTGTTAAAAAATTAAATAAATAAATAATAAATAATAAATAAAATAAAATCTATGGAAGAAACTAACTATGGTATTAACTTGGTATTAGGATTAAAGAGCAATCATTGTGGCAAAAGGGACCAGTTAGTAGTAAGTTATATATTCGGAAACTTTACAGGTAAGTGGATAGCGTCCCAACTGATATTCCAATAAAATTTTTACTGAAATATTACATTTTTATACAAATCCTCTTTACAGCAACAATCTAATTATTGGATATTTTGTTGATTAAAGTATTTTATTTTTGTGAAGTTATCCTTACCAGATTTGATAATTTTATTTTATCACTGAATACAAGTTTGGATTTTAATTATGAAATTTTCATTCTGGAATTTATTGAATTGATACAGAGAATGATTCTTGCGAGTTCAACTTCGAAGATTTTTGATTATTCGATAAATGCAAGCATAAGTATTTGATATGAAATGTTATTCTGGCAAGTTTTAACGCTTAAGAGTATTCATGCGAGTTTGATTTTGAGAATGAGAACTGTATCTTGGAAGTAATGATTTTCTCGCATGTTTGAAAATGGTTTTAAAAAGGGACTTTATATAGAACACTGGTTGCTAACGGCAGTTCCGTTAGCCCTTGGCGAGCCATGGTACACCTAGCTAGCAGGGTGTTTATAGAAGGTGCTAGCCCCGTGCGATGGCCAACGCACGTGGAACGGAGGGATGGTTACTCGTGAGCATCGTACTCACATTTGATTTCGTGGCTTTGAGCCGCGTTTGGTTATCATTATCCTCGTAGATTGTGTGTCCACGTTTGTTTCGTGGCTTCGGTCGCGTTTGGTTACTTACCCTCGTGGATTGTGTGTCCACGTTTGTTTTCGTGGCATGAGCCGCGTTTGGTTATTTACTTTCGTGGACTGTGTATCCACGTTTGTTTATTGTTCTGATAAGTCCCTATTATATGAATTTGATTGTTTGGAAATTTTACATCCCATTGGTTTTAAATAATACATTATTTATAATTATTTATTTATTTTACTGTTTTCTTGCAATCAAGTGATAATATTATTTGATACGATATTTTAATGGTTTGAGATTTTTATTTAAAATTTTATAGAATTCTTTTATTTCAAAAGTCTACTAAATTGTTATGAAGATCATTGCTTCTTTAAATTGCATAATTATTTTAACTTTATTTTTTTTATTATTCCTGTTCAATTATTTATAGTTGGGACATTATTCACTGAAAAAAATATTTTGGTCTCAGATTCATTAGTTGATGCTGAACCTCCTACCAATCATTGAGAGGCTTACTACTATGCTGGGTGACTACTTATTTTTTTTTTAAAAAAAAGTGCCTTTTCTTTTGATGTAAATATTCAATTATATGTTCTATTTTGAGATTATATTTTAAGTGCTCCACATTAACCATAGGTAGGATGCTGATCTGTAAATTTATATCGATTGTCTGTTGTGGAGGGGCAGTGCTCCATACTATTGATTTGCATATAAATGGTTGTTGTAGAAATTTCAGGAGGTCTCATTTATAGAGAGAGTTTTGCTAAAATTTTTACAAAAATTTTAGGAACCTTTTGTTTATATGGGAAATGCTATTACAATTCCCAACCTTATTTTAAATGAATTAAGATTTTAAATTAAAATTTTCTTGATTAAGGCTTAAGGGATATGTGCTTGTGTATATATCCTGTGCCGGTTACATCTAATTTTGGGACGTGACACCTTCCCTCCTATTGACCAGTCTGTGTTGGCACAGCGTGCTACTAGATTTCACAAATAGGAAATTAAAGCTGTGTTTGAAATGGGCCTCTCAAATCTCTTGCGCCTGATGGTTTTAATGCTCTTTTCTTTCAAAATCAGTGGGATAGAATTGGTAGCTCTATTGTGGATATTGTTCAATTTATTTGTGATCATCCGAGCACTATTAAAGACATTAATAGTACTCTTATTGTCCTCATTCTGAAGAAGAATCCTCTAGAGTCTCTTAGGGATTTGAGGCAGACAAGTTTGTGCAATGTGATTTTTAAGACTATAACCCAGTTGATTTCGAAGCAGATACTTTTCTCCCTCAGATAATGTCCCCGAATCAGTGCAACTTTGTTCTAGGAGGTTGTTCACTCTATGAAATCCATGAAATGTAAAAAAAAGGTTCATGAAAATTATGATTGATTTGGAAAAAGCATATGACAAGATTAACTGGAAATTTGTGGGCAAATGTGTTCAAGAATTACAACTTCCTCAATCTATGATTGAGCTTATTTATGAAGCCATCTCTACTGCTAATAAGCATATACTTTGAAACGAGGTTAAAGCTGACTCCTTTAGGCCCTCATGTGAGATTCGTGAGGGCGACCCTATGTCTCCATATCTCTTTGTAATTTGCATGGAGAAGTTAGCACACATTATACAATCGAAGATGAATTCAGGTGATTAGAAGCCAATTCATCTCACTAAGACGGGGCCTCCTATTTCTCATCTCTTTTTTGTAGAGGATATTATATCATTTGCTAATGTGAGTTTTCAACAAGTCGAGATGATTAGATCTTTCCTTGAGATGTTTTGTGAAGCTTCTGTGCTCAAGGTAAATTCTTCAAAAACCTGTATGTTTTTCTCTAGCAATGTCAATCACATCAAGTGCTCTACAATTAGCTCCTACTTAGAGTTTTCTCATACTATGGATTTTTGAAAGTATCTTGGAGTTCCTCTGCACCATAAAAGAATGAATAAAAACACTTCTAGGAGACTATTGATAATGTAAAGACTAGGCTCTTTAGATGACGACCCTGTTCCCTTTCTCTTGCAGGTCATAATACTCTAGTGACTTCTGTGACTTCAGCTATTCTAGTTCATGTCATGCAGACTTCTCTACTTCCTATTAGTGCTTGTGATCCCATCAATAAGTGTAACCATGATTTTTCATGGTATAGCTCTAATGGAGTTAGGAAAACACACTTGGTGGCTTTGGATGAGGGATGTCAACTTAAGAAGCAAGGGGCCTTAGTTTAAGACATGTAAAGAATCAAAATTCTGCCCTGCTCATGAAGCTTGGTTGGGGTTTGTGTAAGAATTGGGATAACTTTTGGGTTAAAGTGGTGAGGAAAAAATACCATTGTGGAGAGGATCTAATTCCTAAGATCAATGCCAAACGTCCTAATGTTTGGGCAGGGATAAAAGCCAATTAGGAGAAGGCAGAAGCAAGTCTGGAACGCAACCATGATAATTTGATGATTCATTGGCGTGGTGAAAAGAATGGCCTCTTTTCTGTTAAGTCTGCAAATAACTTGATTAAAAACAACTCACAGTGACCAGATCCAAGATGGAATAAAATTTGGAAAATGCAAGTTCCTCAACATTGCCTATGTTTTTTGTGGCTATCATAGAGAGGAAGGTTGCTTACTAACTTTCATAAAAAAAAAAAAAAAAGCACGGTACGTGTGCTAATGACAAGTGTCCAATATGCAATGAGGGGTTGGAAGATGTTATCCACATGCTTACAGATTGTACTCAAATGAAACTGATGTGGCAAAAGCTTGTTTCACCATCGGCTTGGTCTTGGTTCATGACTTCAAGTTTATGGGACTAGTTCCTAATTAATATCTCAAGGAGAGAGAGTGGTTCTAATGGGAGCTAGGGGCGCTATTCTCGGTGATATGCTGGGGTCTTTGGCATAGCAGGAATAACTTTGTTTCTAAGGGGAAGTTAATCCGGCATGATGTCATGGCTCGTGCACTTGTGATGATTGAAACCATTAGTGATATGAAAAAAACAATTATCTACCTTTGCACCTAGCTCTAATGCAGTAGTAGGGAGGATGACAAGATGGACGGCACTAAATGAGGGGTGGTTCAAGCTATACGTTAATGGGACTTTATCTACATCAAGCCATGCTATGGCTTGTGGTGGTTTGACCCGTGATGACAGGGGGGTCAATTTCGAATTGGTTTTCTTTGTCGTTTGAAGGAAGGTGATTGTTTAACTGCTAAATTATGGGCTTGCTTAGTTGGACTTAAAATAGCTTGGGACACTGGGTTGTGAAGAATCATGCTTGAATCGAATTCTATGGACACATTAGAGCTTCTTCTTCATGTTCCTAATCTTGAGCATCATGACTACAATATTTTGTTAGAGATTCAAAGTTTACGTGAACGGGATTGGGAAATTCAAGTGCACTATGTTCGGCGTGAGGGAAATACTGTTGCTGATTTCTTAGCAAAGTAAGGTCTGGCTACTCCCCTTGGCTTCCACGTGATGGTGTATCCATTTAAGGAACTTTGAAGGCTAATTGATTTGGATTGCCCTAATAGGGCTCATCAGGTTTTGGTTAGGTAACTGTGTTACCTCTTTATTTATCCCAAAAAAAAAAGAACATAATGTTTGTCTGTTTGATATGTTATTAAATTCTCTATAAAGTAATCGAATTGTTTGTTTCTCATTCTTCAAGTTATAACTTCTAGGTGTTTTGTGCATAAGTTAAAGTAACTAATTTTCATATCAAGTGCTATTTTAATATACTCTCTCTGATCTTTATTATAGAACACTTTTAACTGTTTCATATATTTTAAAAAAATTAATTTTTTTAATATCATTAAAAAATAAGATGTACTTTCATTTTTATTCTTGATTTTAAATAATAATACAATTATATTAAATACCATGACACTGATCAAAAAGGGGTAAACTTAGAAAAATGATTTAATTATTACAAAGTATCATATTTTAAATCAAAAATTACTTTTAAAAAATGTTTTATAAATAAGACTGGTGGAAGTATTTTCATTTATTTGTCTAGGACACTATGTAGTGTTGTAATTGCAAGGCTGTATAAAGGGATTTTGGGACTTAAGGCAATATTATTTAAGAGGCCTATTGTATTATTATTTATATAACTTCATATCATTTTTCTAGCTTTTTGATCTATAAAATCAAATATTAAATGTTTATAATCAATTAATTATAACATTTCACTTTTAATAGATAATATAGCTAATTCATTTAATCTATCTTATAACATGATTGATCTTAAATAAGATTTAAGTGATTTTAATATCTAGAAACATAGGTTTGATTCAGATTTGAGGGAGGAGAGATGAAAAACAAAGTGGTGATGGTAAGACAGCGATTGTGGCATGTATTTGGACGTTAAGATTAATCAAATTTAAAAATAGGAGTGATAATTGCAATGGAACGCGGGGCAATGATTTTTTTATGGGAAGATATAATTAACATTAATGCCAAATAAAAATAATAATAATTAATGATATAAGATATATAATTAATATTAATGCCAAATAAAAAATAATAATTAATGATATAAGATATATAATTAACACTAATGCTTAATAAAAAAAATAATAACCAGTTATATAAGGCATAAGTGGACTTGTTTTTAAGCCTAAGGCAACCATCTCATTTGCCTAACATGAGATAAGGCCTTGGGTAACTGTTGCTCCACTTGTTGCCATCTCAAAAATATATAAATGTTTAAAATTTTAAGTGAAGTATATAGTTCAATATCACGGTTAATGGCCTCTGGCCACATACCATAGTTGAGAAACTAGATTTTTATACCGGTGTGATGCACAGGATATTAACTTTTAATTACTCCCTCTATTAAAAAATATAAGATATTTTTTTAAGAATTAGATATTAAAAAATATAAAATATTTTTAATATTTTAAAATATAATCATTATCTATTTTTCAAAAAGTATTCCTAATAAATAATTACTTTATATTTTAGAGTAAAATGTCCTATTAAATAACATTATATATAAAAAGATAGTATTAATTTAAAAATAAATAATTGTTTATTAAAAGATAAAATTCGATTAAAAATATCTTATATTTTTTTAATAACAAGAGTATAATATAAAAACAAGCTCAAGTTTAGGTGACATTAAAATAAAAATTTTGTGCTTTAAAATAATAATTTATATTACTTATTTTAGATTTTAAAACATTATAATTTATACTTTAAATAATGAATATGTAACATTATAATGTCAAACCTATTGTTAAAAATTAAAAAATTAAGAATGGATTTCTATGCTCGGCTAAACCGGCTTAATAAATATTAGTTTTAATAAACAACTAATTTGAACGTGAAAGGTTTTAGGAGTATGAGCCCATAAGAGTGAAGTTCAGTTGTTTAGCTAATTTTAAGGTGAAAGACTTTAGGAACATAAGCCCATAAGAATTAAGTTCAATTGTTTTTCAATTCTGTATATTAAAAGTTATTTCAATTAGCAATATTTTTTATGATCTATATTTTTTTACATAGTGAAAGTATAAATGATTTATTTTATCATACAATTTATTACCTTTTACTTGTTGAAAATAAGCATAAAATTATTTATGTAAAATTTATTATCATGTATAAATTAAAAGGTAAAAAAAATTTACAATTTGTTCTTTCAGTATGTAAAAAATATATAAATGATAAATTTTTGTATTAATCGTACAATATTAAAAAATTTAAAATTTTACAAACTGATCATAAAATGCAAAAAAATTCAAAGCAATAAATGATCTATATTATGCATGCAATGCATCACAATATTATTATGTATAAGTTTCATATTCACCATTAATGTTTTTGGATTTTTTTTTTGAAATTGAGATCCATTAATTTTCATGAATTATTTCTTTTGCGTACAAAAATAAAAAAGAAAACGTACATTGTGACAAATATACTCCCTCCATCTTAATCTGTAAGACACATTTGGTGATAATTTAGTATCCCAAAATATAAAATATTTTAAGGTTTTATTAATTATACTTGTTTAATATTATCCTTCCTTCTTTATTATATTTAATTCTCTATTGATATTTCACAAATAAAGTTATATCAAATTAAGATTATCTTTGAAAAGCAAAACAATAAGTTTGTAAAGGATATTTAATAAAATTTATTAATATACATAATTTTGTTAAAAAAATTCCCTCTAGGCCATAACACCTAGCACCGGTAATTACTTTATGATTTGATAAAAAATTTAGTTGAAACATTAATTCTTTTTAAAAATTTTACATACTTTTAATTTTATCCTTATTAAATACTTTAAATAAGTGTCTTAATAATGATAATTAAAATTTTAATGCATAATTTATTTTTAAAAAGTGTAATAAATAAAGTAAGGGTATAGTTGAAAAATAATTATAAAAATTATCAATGCTCTATATTTTAAATTAAGTAAGATTTATAAAAAATGTCATATATTGTGAGTTGGAAAGAATATTTTTAAGTATTCATTCTACATTCACCAATCATTTTACCAGTGAGTCCCATACCTACCTTTTTTATTATAAAATATTTATAATATTTTATTTTTTATTTGGTATATAATAATTAAAAAATTACTATAAAAATAAAAATGATCATAAAAAAATAAAAAAGAGGTTGGATGGTAATTACAACAGAGGGTAGATTTTTCAAAAAAATTGGGCCCACCGCTTTACATGTACAAAATTAAAAAAACTGGGCCGTCCCATTTTACAAGTAGAAAAAAACAAAATATAAATCTCACCATTTAGTGTTCGAAGAATTGTTGTTCTACAGTAATGTCCATGCATTTTACAATACAAGTAGATACATGAATGAGCCTGAAACGACGGTGAATAGTTACGATAATAAACTTAACAATTATTGAAGTCCTTTACACTCTTTAAAAAGAATTGTTCTCATAAAGTTTTCCCATTAAATGAGCCAGGCTTGTCCGGAAGCAAAAAATAAAAGGAACATAGGAAACTTGGAAGCCACGTGGAAGTGCACAAAATGAGTAATTCAAAAGCGACGATGCAGAATAAAACTGCGGCAACATTCAAGAAAACCAATGAACCAAGCAAAAAGAGCAAGGGAACAAAATAATGGATGGGACCCATGAGGAGAAATCCCAGACTCGAGACTACCATTTGAAGATGTTATCAAGTAGTTAGAATAACTTAGTCGTGTAAAATCTTCATACAATCATGACATTATTATGTACAATAACCACATTTGGCATTAACTAGATACATATAAATCCACTCCTCTATTAACATTCTCTGCTACAGCATCAGCATCGAAAAGTACTCCTCGAATTCTTGATCAATAGTCGGCGGCCTCGTACTTGATTGCGCCTCTGCAACAAAATTATACTTATATTATAAACAGTCAAATACTACATGACCTCAAAATTTTAACTTGTTTTACTTGAAATCTGTAGCTTCGCCATATTTCCAGACACAACCCCTCACATGGAAGTCTTGGCTTTCATTTAAGTATAATCACAGTCTACACCAGTAGGTCAGAAAAGCTGCGCACACAATGTCAAAGTCCATTGGTACTTGAAAGCTTAAGTTATCAAGGGAAGATTCAGATATATCTTTTTATGATGATATAAACTAGGGGTTACTGAGCAGAACTACTGCATCGATCACACGCATAAAGCAACTTCTCATATCAGATTATGAGAATAATAATAAGATCTGACTATTTTGTATACCTTGGTTTACTTCCCATCTTCCGGAAGAAAGGAAATACATGTTAGGATTTACCCCACTTGGATAGAGAAGATCTTCAAATCCCTTGTCCATAGACTCCTCGCAGCTGTCTTTTCCATACTCTGAGTACAAGTGATCCTTAAGCTTTTCATATCCCAGAAGCTGCTCCTCAAGATTCCGCAAAGCTTGTATATCAGCCTCTTGATAAGTTTGATTATATTCTCTGTCGGTAAATGCGTCCTCACTAGAATTTGTCTTCTCAATCGTTGTTACATCCTTAGAATTATAGCCATCCCAATGGCCAAAGGAAGTAGAAGGCCTGCCACATAGGAATGTATTTGCACAATCTGCCTCAAGTTTAACTTCCTCATTTACAGACATTGAAGCATCAGAATCTTCGGCAAAACTATTGCTGTCTTCGGCAGATACAGGAGATGGCCTTTCATCAAGGACTAAAGCATCTGGTTTGACCTTGACTGGAGGATCATGCATTCTCTCTGACCTTAAATTCTCATCAGATGTCAAAGCCTGCTCAGAAGGGAAATTCCGAACCCAGCATTTATGCTTTGGTCTGAGCAAATCCAATTGATCAATCTGTAATTTCCTTTTCTTATTCCATTCAACAATGTTGGTCATGTGAACATCATCCATTTCGAATCTGAACAGAATACATCACAAATGTTAGAAGCAAATGACAAGTCATAAGAGGCCTTTCAAGCATATAAATAACATCTTGGAGACAATAACCTCAATATTTGGGAACTGAAACATGAAGATGCATGGTTTGTCAAACTTTTTGCCAAGTTTGGTCCTTGAACTATTAACTTATCTTTTGCATGAATTTTTGAGCTGGGACCATGCTCAAAGCACCAAGTGCAAGCAAATAATTTTTAGTTTCACAGCACCCCATATTCACCCAATTGGCTCTATCTGTAAATGATCTACAGAGGAAATATTTTACCCATTTCACTTTTAAATTTTGTCTGAGTAGCTCAGGTCAAGAATTACTTCTATTCACAAATTTTGATTTATGTAACAAGGGATATCCTTATCATGAATAAGTGAGCAAAAACTACAAAATACAGTAAATATGACAGAATAAACAACCACGAATGAATGATTTTCAAATTTACCACTCATCTGCATTTGAATTTTTATAATTCATCAGACACCGTTGCGAGGCCGCTTTTTCTAAATCTTAAAGCAACTGACAAGATTACATTTCCCTTCAAGAGATTTTCTAAAGCTTCTTTTTTCTAAATCTTTGTTTTTTGGCCCTTTAGAATAAAGCATGTCTTACTTATCCGTGTTTTGTCATACTCAAGTGATTACTATGAATGCTTCAATTTCCCCCCAAGTAACTCCTAGGCCTTGGATCCATTCTTCCACACTCTCTAATTCTGAAGCCCTCAAATCCTCATTTGCAAGACAATCATTTGATTCCTATAATTTTAACTCAATTGTAACTTAATCCTTAAAACTTGACTCGTTGTAAATAGTTTTGACTCAATTATAACTCAATCTCTCAACTTTAATTTTTACAACTCGATCCATATATTTTATAACCATTTAAATATTGATCCCTATATTTTAAAAAATAAAATTATAAAGATTAAAACTATTTTTTAAGATTTTAATATTTATAAAAATTAAAAAGGTTTAGTAATTTAAAATATTAGTCCTAAATTTTAACATAATTTTAATTTTTTGGGTAAAACATAATTTTAATCTTTATAATTTTATTTTTTAAAATAGAAGGACCAGCATTTTAAATAGTTAAAACTATAGGAACTGAATTGCAAGATTTAAAATTGAGGAATTAAATTACAACCAAGCCAAAATTATAAGGACCAAGTGACAATGAGTCGAAATTCAAAAATTACCGTTGATTCAAAACTTCAAAGAGCAAATAATTAATCACCCCCCTAAAAAAAAAAAAAGTAACTCCTAGGCATTGGATCCATTCTTCCACACTCTCTTATTCTGAAGCCCTCAAATCCTCATTTGTAGGACAATCAGTAAGACATCAAATCGTAAGAAAGAATAATTAAAAGTGAAATAAGCCGTTGTGGACCTGAATTTGCTTTTCTGATAATAAAACGAATAGAATCTAGCTCCAACTTTTCAAAAGATTTGTTCCCATTACAGCTAGAAAAATCTCCTTTCTTTTCTTATCAGCATTGCAAAAAAAAAAAAAAACACACAATATAGGGTATTTGTACCTATAAATATCTTGAAACATCTGAAATTTACAATTGTGAGGGAATAATTGAAGTTAAAGAAAGAAACAATACCTAGCAGCATCTTTCCAAGAGTCTTTCCCATTTCCGTCAAAAAACCCTATTGCCCCCCCCCCTTTCTTACCTTCTATACAAAACAAATGCAGCAGAATAAAGAGCACTTGTTCCTAAAAATATCTAACAATATCTGAAATTCACCTTCTTTTTATAAGTAAATTATAGAACTTCTTCAGAACAGGGAAAGATACACTTGCAGTTATATCCTGCATCTTCAATCACTCACATCCTACATATATAATGTCTTTATACTTCAATAAAAGGAAAGTCTGAAGCAAATCCATCCAAGTTGATTGTGCAACCAAATCAAAAATCTTCACTTCCAGCTAAATCTCAAGATTTCAATAGCAAAATGGATCTATAAAAAACAGTAGCATCAAATCTAAGAGAAAATACAGAAAAAAGCAAAGGAGAAATAAGCAGTGATCAAACAGGGCAAGAAGCCAAGAACCTGAAGAGAAAAGAAAAATAGTATTGAATGGCCAGTAGTCAAACCTGTTTGCTTGAGATGAGTTCTGATTTTCAGCTTCCATCTGGATCCAGAAGATAGAAGAAGAGTCTGAGAGCTCAAGTAGAGAGAGAAAGAGTGATCACCACCTCCATGCCGAAAGATCGAAACTTTATAAAGCAAAATGCAATGGCATGGATATCCCAGAATATAATATCCACACCCTTGGTTTTTTTCCCTATCTCTCTGTCTCTCGGAGGTGTCGCTTTTAATTTTTATCTTATCCATGCTCTGACGGTAAGGTGTTTGAGTCTGGCGTATTCTGGCGCGTGGAGTGCACGTGAGAAGTCGCCCTGACCTCCAAGCGGCATCTTCACGTGGCGTCCCACTGGGGGTTGATCCCACCTTGTGCCCACGTGGCATGTTTAAGCCGCGTGAGATGACATTCTTAGTATTTCCTATCTCTATCCGCCGTTCGGAGCAAGTCGATCTGTCAAGGATCCTGCGTAATACCTTCATTTTCTTGCAGTGAGCTTAGACTGTTGCTGTTTGAGCCAAAACAAAACAAAACAAAAAAAAAAAAAAAAGGTTAGACTGATGGACTTGTTAACCGTGCTGTTAATCTGCTTTAACTAAGATAAGTGCTGTTAGTATCTGCTTTAACTAAGATAAGCTTTGCGATTTTTATGTTTAAAATTTTCTTAAGTCTCAGCTCTCCCCATATCTAGGTATAAGATTTTCTTGTATCAACTTCACTAGTACAAATAACTGGTATGTCCGGTTAATAAATTTTCTTGTTAAAAAAAATAGAATTTAGGTGCAAAAATGCTCCCACACTTTTTTTTCTTTTCAAGAGTTCATGATATTCTTAAATTAATATTCATGCATGAATATTCATTAGCTTTATAAGAAAAAACAAACATTTTTTAATTTGTTAAAATAGCTTAGCATTGATTATTAAATTCTAAAGATAATATTTAATGAATTAAGGAAGATTGCCTTTTTTATAAAGTTAAGAGATACCATGTATTATTATTGATTTAAAAATATTAAAAGCTCTCAAGAAAAAAAAAACTCCAAGTATTTTGCCACATTGACCAGAAAAAATAATAGGAAGAATTTCAATTAAGGACTACTGTAAAGACTTAATTTTATATGGGTTTAAAAAAATTCTAAAATTTTAATTTGGTTCAGTTCAGGAAGAAAAGTCATAAAAATTTTGATGGTGAAAAAGACTAAAATACCTCTTACTTGTTATACAAAATCATTAGTTATTAATGTGTTTACTCCACTTGTTAATTATCAAATATAAGTTACAAATTACATGAGTTGACATGTCAATAATTGTATAGATTTAACATCAATTTTTTAATACTAAGCAGCAGTATCAATTATTAGCTTGCTAATTGTAATTGTTAATTTACTAACATCAATCATAAATTATTAAATTACTAACAGGTTTTGTAATTTATAACTGATGTCAGTAAATTAAGGAGTAAAGTTAATAAATTAACAACTAATGTTATTGATTGTCTGATAAATAGATGTAATTTAAAAATAATATTAATAAATTAAAAAATACAATAAAAAATTAATAACTAATTATTTTACATAATAAGTGAAGAGTATTTTAGTCTTATCACTATTAAAATTCTTTTAACTTTTCTCTTCAAAACTGAACTGAAATTTTAAAATTTTTTTTGAATTCATCTGAAATTAAATTTTTATAATAGTCCTTGACTGAAATTTTCTCAAAATAATATCCCATGCAACACGAGGAGAAATTTCTGTTTTATTGTAAATATATCAGAATCATCAGCTGGTTAAATATTGAACAAAACTAAACCTTCCAGGCGGCATATTCCATTACTCCTCATAAAAGAAAGCCTTTGCTACAAATTAAATTTATCAAGTTATAATGCTGGGCATGTCTATATATTTCCCTTCTAACAATCTTAATTTCAACCCAGGTGGGTATATCTTGGAGAAAGTACTGAACCTCGAAAAAGTATTTTTCTTTTTGACTAAATCGAAAAAGTATTTAATTTGAAACAAAATATATCAAAATCATGAAAAGCGAGGGGCCGCACAACACAAGGATCTCATGATGGCTGGGGATCCCGAAAATGACAAATCTAGACCTCAAGCGAGCAGCAAGACAACGCCCAGTTCAAACTTTCTCTACAAGGTCAACATTTTTTTTTAAAGATTTTTTCTTAGAAAAAACCACGTCAAGATTTCAAATACTAAAAAATCCTTTCAAATATATAAAATACTTTAAATCCCAAATCATTTATTTTGAATATATTTTATGTTAAATTACTAAAATATCTTTATTTTAAAAAAGCTTTCCATCATCGACCAAAGGTCGAATGACCAGCAACAAAATATTCTCGGGAAGGGTGGCCATGGAGAGATTATGACTCAAGACCATATGATTCCCAAAAATATATATGAACCATTAAGTTATGAAAACCATTTATTATACATATGCAAAGTTATATATATTAAACTTGGGAGAGAAAGCTGGTGAAATAGAATTCAACAGTCAATAATGCATGTATAATATATTTATTATTTATGCTAGGTGACTTGTCAGCAAAAAATATGCACATTCAATAGTCAATAATGTATAATGTACTTGTTATTCATGTTGAGTCGCTTATCAATGAAGAATATGCACATTTAGTCATTAAAGATGTATAAGATACTTGTTATTCACACTAAGTGACTTGTTAATTGAGAATAAGCATACTTACTAATCAAAGATGTATAAAATACTTATTATTCATGCCGAGTGACTTGTTAATAACGAATATGTGCATTTAATAATCAATGATATATAAGGTACTTATTATCCATGCTAAGCAACTTGTCAATAAAAAATATGCATATTTAATAATCATTCATTTATAAAGTACTTATTAGTCATGTCAGGGACTTGATAATAGAAAATATGCACATTTAATGGTTATTGATGCATAAGGTAGTTGTTATTCACATTATATTATATATCAATAAAGAATATGCACATTTAGTAATTACTAAAGTATAAGGATCTTATTATTCATGTTAGGTCGCTTGTAAATAATCATATTCTTTATGTCAAGTCACCCAAAATGAATAGTAAGTATCTTAAATATCATTAATTACTAAATATGTATATTTTTCATTGATAATCGCCTCGTATGAATAACAAATACTTTATATATTATTAATTATTAAATGTGCATAATCTCTATTGACAAGTCACCTAACGTAAATAATAAGTACTTAGTATATCATTGACCACTGAATGTACATATACACTGTTGACAAGTCACTCAACATAAATAATAAATGCTCTATACATCGTTGGTTACTAAATGTTCATATTATCATTTGACAAGTCACCCAACATGAATAACAACCATGAACTATCTTATACATGTGTAATTGATGATTGAATTCTATTTCATTAACCTTGTCTCCCCAAGTTACATATATATATATATTTGCACGTGCATAGCAAATGGCTTTCATAGCTTAGCGGTTCATGCATTTTGTTTTTGGGAATCATGTGGTCTACCACCCTTTCCAACTATATTTCATTGACAGCAGCCAATGATGGAAAGCTTTTTTTTAATTAAAAAAACAGTAAAACAAGAGTGTTTTAGTAATTTAACATAAAATATATTTAAAATAATAGATTTAAAGTTTAAGGGTATTTTTATGCATTTCATGAGATCTCTTAGTAATTGGAATCTTTATAAGGGATCTTGAAGTGATTTTCTCCTTTGCTTTGCCTTAATTGCTGATCTAGTTCTACTCAATAGAACATCTCGTAGGCTTAATTAACATAGGTTGAAGCCAAGTTAATAAATCTCTTCTGAAAATTAGCCAATGGGACTATACATATATTTCTGGAAGGTGAAAAGGGTTCATGGACTATATACATGAAGTGCAGCGGGGGAATATATTCCTATAATGAATACCGATTATTCTCTAAATTGAAGTTCACTTGTTCATCGGCTTTTTCCTAAAACGCTTGTACTTGGGCTGAGAAATGGTGTTGAATATCATTATTGAAACGAACCAAGACCGAACATTTTTGGACAAGCATTCCCAATGTTTGGGCTCATGAATGCCCAAGGCCGACTTCCAATTTTTTTTTCCCTAGGTACAAAAACGATTTTTCTTTTTTCTTTTTGATTTTTTGAAGAATCTATGACGCGTGGTTTCAAAACCCAAATCAGGTTGGCTGATTAGATCAATAAACCAATGAACCAAGCTCTTGACTGGTTTAGTCAAGAGATTGGAAGAATGACTTTTGATAGGCCAACTAGGTTAAATTTTATATTTTTCCCCAATTGAGCATGAAATGATATTGCTTTGAGTTTTTTTTTAAAAAAATAATTTGTTATATTTATACTTTAATAGCTTTGTTTTGTTGGATTACATGTGGCTTATCTATGAATGTTATACTCACTTGTGGATCAATGACTTTTTTATTTAAATAATATTCTTTTCAAGATTATATATGATTTTTTTTGTTTTAATAAAATTATATAATTTTAATTATCACTGTATTGACTGTTGAACTATTGATACTTGAACTATTATTTTAGTAAGTTCAATAACCAATTTAATTTTCAATATCACGCAAAACAGACTTCCTCAAAATAAGTTGGGGAAAAGAGACAAGAAATGTCAAAATATTTTAATTCTGAAATGTGAACAAGCATATGAAAGAGATGCGGGCGAAAAGGGAGGTGAAATTAGAGGTGGAAGGCATGAGCATTTATTCAAGTGACGTGAAAGATCAATTTAGAGTTGAGCAAATTCAACCCCCGCCAAAACACAAGCAGGTCAAACAGCTCCAATTTGTGCAGTAAACTCACTCAACTACTAAACTCACTGCTGTATTTCAATTTCAATCCCGTCAACAATGTGGCTCACAAATTTCGAAGAATCCGTTGTCGTACAGTCCTTTCCATCAAAAGCTCTTCAACAAATTCTGACCTCTCAACAACTGATAGTGGGACCCAACCAAGTAGGGACCACCAATTGGTGGGCCTACTTTCCCAAACCCAGCCTCTGTCCCGCCCAGCTGCAACTTAGATGGGCCAGGCCAATCCTTGACTTCTCCACATCGAACTCCATCCACAGATTCTGCTGCTGCTGATGACCAATGATGAATGCCTCCACCCCCAGCAGATCCGAATTCCCAAACGTGAAGCAATACACCCAATCACCACCCATTACCCGACCCGGAATCCGATACAGAAGCTGCTTGCCCGAAATTATCATTTCCGCCCCCTCCATAACCAGACTCACATACGGCAGTCCGGGTAATTCTCTTTGGTTCATCGGGACCCGGTAACAGAGATCCATCGCTAGCTGGAACGAGAAGTTTGGATCATCCACGACCCTCAATGTGTTGTTTGTTTGCTTCAAGAACTCGCTCCGCAGTGCTGTGTAAGCCGGACCCAACAAGAATGTGAACTGGGTGCCCGAGTCAATCATGGTTTGACCTGCCCCGGTGTGATCGGGAATGTAAACAGAATCTGATACGGGCAGGAGCTTTCCCGATACTTTGATTCCCCGGAGCCGAACAGTGTAAGCTGCCCGGTCGAAGTAGGGTAATGGTGTGGAAATTTGGACCAAGGGAGTGTAGTTTAGCGGGGCGAGCCATGAGAAATTGGTATCCCCGAATAGCAGGACTCCTGAGGAATCCGAATCCGATATGCAGTAAGAAAATTTCGGAAATTTTAGCTGCGAAATGAATGAGAGCGACCCTCGGTTCAGACCCAACAACCCGGTCATGTTAAATTCTCTGTCCGAGTTGCTGCTGTCGTAGCTCGAATTCATGCACCCGAATACAATTCCCGGGTCTTCGGATGTGCCGACCCGGAAAGTGTCCGAAGCGAGGTTGCCTTCTGTGGAGGAGAAGTCGGCGTAGGAGAGAGTGGCGTGGCAGAGATTGTTGGAATCGCAGGAAGCGGGGATGGGGAAGTCTCGGGTCCGGGTCGTGCAGGTGGGCGAGGAGCAAGAAATGGGTAAGTACGACGAAGAACGGATCGGGTCGAATGCGGTGGGTGAAGTGGTGTTACAACGAAGCCATGAGAGTTCACTCCCAGTGTCAATGACCATGGAGACATTCTGTGGAGGAGAACCGACTGAAAGAGAAACAGAGAGACTAACGTTATGGTGAAAACGAAGCTTATCTGGGGATCTTGGGAGGTAGCCAGAAGAAATAATCTGGGTTTTGAGAGACAAGAGCAGCGTTTGAGTATCAGAAAAACACAGATTGGTATGAACCAAAATAAGCAAAACGAGAGATTTGAGGCATGGGTCTGGGAAAAACTCAAAGAGAAATCGGAGTTTCATCGTGTTGTTGTAAATGAATGTCAACAGAAATAGTTTCGGTTTGGGTGGATGGGAATTAATAATGGATTATTATTGAGGATAGGAGGGGGTTAGGGTTTTGCAATGAGAAGTGGAGTAAAAGAGATTTGGAGTAATTATGCGGAAAGTGTATGATATTTCGGGGACAAAGAAAAGAATCTGGAGGACATGAAATTCCTTGATGTCTGAGCTAAGAAACCAGTCCTCTCTCTCTATATATCTATATATCTCTACATCATGATAAGATCTGAGACACTGAGGATGCGATCTACTACTAATCGAAGGTACCGTACCACAAACAGTCGCTGTACTTGGTACTATACCCAACAAACATAACGTTGTTTTCTTCGGTGCATATGTAAAAACAAAAAAGGCATCGGTTCGATTTCAATTTTGTTTTGGAGGTAATTCGTTTAAAATACATATATACAGATAGATCAAGTTCAAGTTAATCGTACGTACGAAACATTTGCGTTGGAGATTAGAGCAGCTTAATTCACACTCCATAGGAATATAGAAGCATTTGTTTTGATAATTATGAATATATGGTGGAAGGCTGTGCAACAAGTTATCAGCTGTAATTAATGATTAATTAACCGAACTGTCAGGATACTTACCCTCTAAATCTAACCTCATTAATTAGTTTCTCATGATATCTAGCTTCAATCCTATATATATGTGACGGTAGGTAGGATTCTAAACAAATTGAAAATGCAAAATTGAGTTTGGCTTCTTTGGTCATCTAGATGGTGTAAAAGAAATGAAAAAGACAGTTAATTTTGAGTTTAGACTCTTTTTTAGTGTTATTCTCTCGTTGCAGGTAATCTATTGAAAGCATAATCATGTGTTAAATGTGATATATTTCTCTTAATAGAAATTTGAAATGCTGATTTGTCATATTGTGAGGAAGATTATCTTAGTTTAGACTTTGTTTTCTATCTAGCTAATTAATTAGAATAATAATCTATCTAGCTAATTAACTAGAATAATAATTTCCAGATAATAATTGGAACGTACGTGGTTAGAGTGGGCATGTTCATGAAGTTGAGGGAATAATATGAAGAGAGCATGATGGTGGCAGCCTTGGGTTAAAAGCATGGCTTTGTGTTTGCGAGCAGCTTTTGCTAGTCTTGCATCCCACCAAGATTTTACTTTCTTTTCACTAAAGGCAAAGCACGTGATGCCTTTCTTCATGGGATTAAACAAATGATCTATATTCTCTGCTTAATTTATGAAAATAAGAAACCCATCTCAAGATGTACATTAGCTGGTAAGATAATTATTTATTATGTGAGTTAACATTTCCTTTATATATATATATATATATATATATGACATCGACATTCCAAACTTCTTATATTGATGATTATTGCCAACAACTTCCTAGGTTTGCTTGTGTTTGGCAGGACGAAGGAGTAGATTGGAGCAAGAAAAAATAATAGTACATGATTAAGGTACACAATGTTTTATTATTCATAATATTACTTAAATATGGTTAAATATTATTATTAAATAAAAACGCAAAATTTATTTTCTCATCTTTATATTTCATATATATATATATATATATAAGCAAAGCACATATTTTGATTTTTTATATTTTCATATCCCCATAGATCATTAAAAGTAAATCAAATTTGCATTGACACCATAAAATTTGAATTTTTTTTTTGTGCATAATACATGATGCAAAAACGTTTCCTACATGCTTGGTTATGGATATATATGATCATCGTATGAATAATATTAAAGATACGATATCAGAAAATTTCTGATATGATGTCATACATCTAATTATCTAAGACAAATTTAATATTATATGGTATAATAGGCAATTGACAAATTTAAATTGACATTTTAGTAGCATTTGAGGCTCATATGGTGTCTCGAAGTAACATAGAAATCCGTTAATCGGCTGCCTAGAATCCAATTTAAAATAGGGAGAATTATAGCTAAGATCAAATTGAGAAGTTTATCATTGAAAAATGGCCAAAATTTTTACATCTTTTCTGTAGGAGTTACAAGTTACACTGGGCATTCACAACTCAATGAAAATTACCAGGATCCAATTTCATTGTTTCGCATTACGACAATAAATACAACTACCATTCCCATTATTTAATGCAACCTGGTTTTCACACATCATTTGTTTTTTAACATAAAAACCATGTGCCTTTATAATAATTTCACATATGCATGCAGGATCGTTAGGAATAAAAGACTTGTGAATTTGGTGCTTGAGCATAATTTTTCCGGTAAAATAATGTCGGAGGGTCAAGTACTAACGGAGACCAACTTTTTTTTTTTTTTAGTATCATTAATTAAATCTGGAACGAATAACCACTTTCGGAAATTAATTAATGCAAATGTTAACGTTATCAAGTTACGGCCTTGCAGGGTTCCACGCGACGTAGAATGAAACGAAGAAGGTGGAAAAGTCAAAAGCCTGCAGAAGATGATGGTGATTAGAAGGTTGTCCACTTGTACTAGTTCATTAAATACATGACACGTGGAGTGTTATGCTGCACATGTTGCGCTGTGTTTGCTTCTGGACACTCCATCGTGGATTGGTCCCCCTAACGCAAACCCATCTCCAATTTTTCATAAAAATATCTGGTCACTGTAGGGATATGCGTGCTATTCAGCGAAGATACTATAGCATTCTTTCCTTTCCTGCATTTAACTCCGGAGCCAAAATTATTGAAGATTCGTTAATGACTTCCGCAAACTTGTGTGGAAAAGGTAAGAGTGTCTTGGTATTTTCTTTAAAACCTGTTTTATTTCAACATTTGGGACTTATGGCCTAATATTTGAGCCTTTGTAGATCTTGTGACCAATTTTTCCGCTTCATTCTTTTGTTGAAATCAACCATATTCCAAATTGCTACCCTTTCCTCATCCGTTACATTCAGTAAAATGGTTGAATTTCTCAATGCATATTGCGCCACCTTCTCACTTCATGCATGTATATATAAACTCACCCCTATCATCTTTTTCATGTGAAACAGTGAAAGGCGCTTGTCACTGTAATTTTTAATTGAAAATTATCCTGACTTGAGAACTTTCAAGGAAATAACTATTCTTGTAACTGCTGAATTTGAGCCAACAAAAAGAGAACACCAAGCATCTCAAACTTTTAAGAAAACAACAATCAAAAGTCAGATTACTTTCATATTTATTGCAGTGGCAAAAGAAATACATGGAGAGAAAAAGTAGGATCTTTACCTACTTGATGTTGATGATATGCACTTTTCATGAATCATTACTTACCAGAGGCACACATTATATTTTGTACAGAAGACTTGAAGTGGGAAAGAGAACATCCAAGCAGCATTACCGTCAAAGAACCCAAAATTAGTCTTCCTTGAAACTACAACTAATTCTTTGTCTGTTCTAATAATCGCTTTTCAGTGAACATGAAATATCATGATGGAGTTTGAATATCTATTTTGTACTGAAAGTGTTGTACCCTATTATTTTTTAAAAAAAAAAAAATTGGCATTGTACACTAATGCCAGTTATTGGATTAAGCGCTCGCCACTAAGCTAAAAACTATAGTTGATAGTTGAGATACAATTCTCTCCACTTTAATTTATTAGCCTAAGCGCCATGGTTCAATCTGATTTTGATCCCTTGCTAAACCTTATCAAGACAGAAAGAATCCAGAATTATATATCCAAGGAAACAAGCCTTTAAGATTATTAAATGCACAAGGATCTGAAAAAAATGGAACAGCCTGAAAGTCATTGTTTTCTGTCTAGTCTGTGCTACTTATGTTTGGAAAAATGAAAATAGTGTAAAAGAGTCGATAGCATGCGGTAGTATTCCATATGAAAGTTGTCTAACAAGCTCATACCTCCCCACAAGTTGTTATTTACTATTTAAGGTAAAATATCCCCAAAAGAAACAACTTAAGTAATTGCAAATTTGCTTAATCTTGTACTCAGACAAAAGGTTAGGAACAAAACTATCATATCCATTGGGGCATTTTTGCAGACACAGAAGCTGCAAGTGCAAAGAAGTGTTAAAACAATAGTTTTCTTTACCTTGTATTCGTACCAAACCAGAGAAGATTGGGAACAGAACAATCCAATCATATTTGTCAGACATTTTTACACGCACATAAGCATAAATTGCATATATGTAAGTATGAAAGAACATTAACAAAACAAGAAGGGTTGCAAACAGAACAAACATATTCATCAGGAATTAGGAGCTGAGAGTTTTCTACTTGTCAATTTGGTTAAGTTTTCCAAGACCATTGCATCGTGCACAAACAATTTGAGCTTGGTCCTTTCTTGCTGCATTTGCTCTCAAAGTCGCCCCCGCCTTCCGAACAAACCCTGCTCCGTCGCATTCAGGGCATCTGCAAATATCAACACCAATATGCGGTCACATGATCTTCCACAATTGTTTTGATGAATGAATCAGAATGAAAGAAATTTGGGGAATTACGTGTCCTTGCGAGAGAAGAAGAGGGGAAAGGCAGTTCCGATTAGGGCTACACCAATAGCGCCGGCGATGAGGTAGGTGGTGCTATCAGACGAGACGTCTCCGACGGCAGCAACCACCGTTGAAGGTTTCCTGCTTTTGTTCTTAGTCTGAAGCGAAGTCCACGATACTGAAGGAGGAGAGGCGCCTGATAAAGCAGGCGCTGAAAGTGAAGCGGATGAACGAGTTCTGGGAAAGAGAGTCTGAAACGGTGTTAGTGACGCCATGAAATAATTGGTAAGGAGGAAGCTAATACATATGGCTCATGGCCATGGCGTTTTAATAGGATATGAACTGAAAATCGATGTGGATAAGGCCACGTCAGTACACAAGATTCTTCACGAATCCTGGATAAGCCAACGTGGCCATCCAACCATGACTCATGAAACTTGCATAAATCAACACGTGAGTCATAAGCCACAAGGCCCCAGACATAACACGAAAAAACAGAAAAAATTCAGCCAATGCCTTCCGTGTCCCTGTTGATCATAGGATGCTGATAAGAGTGCTGAGAAACGCCTGAGTCATTAGCCAGAACAGCAGAAAGAGGGGATGGAGTGTTGAAAATGCAACCAACAGTATCCATGGAAGAGGCAGGAGCAATAAGAAGCATCTTTGCAAGAAACAGCTCGATAGAGCTCACAATCCATTTCAATCACTACTCAGATGCCATATTGATGGCTTTTTCACAAGCTAGTATAACTCCAGTCATGAAGCATGAATCAGCTATGACTTGTTCCCTCTATCGCTTGACTATTACTCCAATCGCTGCTCTCTTTCAGGATGAATAAAGGCCCCATCGCAATTGATCTCGAATGTATCACACTCGGGGGAACTCCAACCGGCATTGAAGTTCTCATTGACGGAAGAACTCACTCGATTGTCGCAATTGATTTATAAATATATAGGACCAAAGGAGTAACCCAGAGGCAAATGACTTGTTAATATCTTTTTCACAACATAATCAATGCACCAACTTTCTTGGGTTTTGGACCGCGTCATTAATCCTTCTGTGTGCTCTACTTTGCTTCTCACAAGTCTTGCATCAGTCTGTTTCTATTTACAGGTAGCATAAAAAGAAAGGCGTGCAAATTTTACAGCAAGTGTATGAAAAGTTTTATTTGAAATATATTAAATTTCCAATAAAAAGTATATAAATTTAATTTAATCTGAAATAAACAATTAGACACTTCACACCTGCTAAGAGAAAATCACAAACAAAATTCAAATAAAAATATCCAATGGAACTAATTTGTCCACTGGCAGTCCGATAATATTAAGGGGGCGTTTGTTTAGGATCATTTTGGGAGGAAATCGCTTTTTTCCCCCTAAAAAAATGACTTTTCAAATTTTGCTAGTTGTTTGTTTAAACCTTTTTTTTAAAAAAAAAGAAAAGCAAAATCTAAAGGAAAAAAAATGCTATTTTCAATTTTTTTTTGAGCCATTTTCACTAACTTCTTCAAATAATCCAAATGGTAGATAAGAGAGAAAAATGATGAAAACATGAAAGATGGTACTACTAAAATATTTTGGACAAAATTGCTCAGCTCATTTTACACCTTATCTACCATGTTCTTGCTTGCGCTCTCCCTCACATTAACAAAAATTCATCGTCCTCCGTCAATTCTGACACCAACAACAACCACTGCCACCCTCTACCACTTCAAGTCTCTCACCTTTCACCCCTCTTCTCTTTTTTTGATCTCTTCTCTTCAAACCTTTTGCAAATCTCTTCTCAAGTTAGGATTAAATCAATCTATGACTGTAATAAATTTAGTTGAGTATGTTCTTCCTTGGCCCAGCATTTTAGCTTGCGTAAATCCATATTTTGGGCATTATAAAAAGAGTTAGAACCACACAAAAAGTCCCCCCCCCCCAAAAAAAAGGGCTACAATCCCCAATTTCTATGTAATCATTGAGGATTGAGGCTTCAGGCTTCCGTTAAAATCTAATAAGTAGAAAATCCACCATTTTCCATCTCAATACCTTTCCATATTCATTTTTACCAAACGTTGTATGCGTCAATGATTTCATTGAAGGCCGATGAATTCATATGCCTTGGATTTTTCGTCATCTTCACCATAACCTTTCTATTTGGACGCTTCTTAGGTTACTGAAAGGATTTTTTTTTTTTTTAGAAAGTGTCTTTTTCATGTCCATTATTGTAATTTAGTAAATAAACGATTTTTATATTCTTTTATCTAAACAAGTTAAAAGGGATTGTTTTTATAATGGTAACCAAATACATAATATTTGTTTATTAATTATTCCAAATTCTCAACAGAATAAATCGCTTTTTATATAACCTCTAAATTATAAAAAAATTACGTATTTTTTAATTTTAAAGAAACAAGCCTTTAAAATTATATAACGTGAGAGAACTAGAGAGAACTAAATGTGTCCAGGCCAGCTACCATCCTAATAATTTGGTAGTGCTCAATTCATTATGCATGAGTTATGATGTCAACAAAATTAGATGCTTTATAAGCCTTATACTCAACTTTTTATTATCATCTACCTGAAAAGGTTGAAAAACCAAAATTAACATCCACATTTTACCAACAGAAGTTAGTCCTAATAAAAGAAATTGTGATCACTTAAGCATGAACAGGGCGGAACAACCAGCATTACCATTGTGGGGGGCCAATTTTTAAAGAATTAATACATATTAATTTATATTTTTTAATCTTTCTTTTAAATAATTTTTACAAATAATTTTTGTAACTTAAAAAATCATTAGATTAAAATTGTGTATAATTATATATAATATTTTTAAAAATATTTCAAAATGTAAAGCGACATCACATATCTTTATATTATTTTTTCAAAAGATTATAAGGTTTAGATATTTAAAATGAATTTAATTAACATTTTACGCAAATTAAATAAAAAATATGTCTTCATACAAATTCAGAAATTCTCAACTTCCAGACAATTTATTTGAAAAATAAAATGTGTAGAACATTAATACAAGATTTAATAAATAAAAAAAATTTTAATAAACTGGGAAATTATGTATTTTATTTCTCTTTAAATATATAAAAAATTATATATAAAAAGTGAAGAGGAAAGGATATAGAGAGAGGTGGGGGGGGGGGGAGAGGGGGATGGAACTGAGCAGTGGAGCCCATTAACATTAAGAGGGATACAATTTCACCCTTTTATCATTCCTTACTATGACCCTTGCTTGTCAAAGCATTCAATGCACATACATATAAATAAAATAGGGGAGGAAGTTCGGGAGGGCCCTTAACAATATCGTAGCTCCGCCCTTGAGCAAGAAATCTTGAATTCAAATTTAAATTTACATGTATGTAAAAAATACTTTTAAAAAAGTAGTAATGAACAAATATAACCTAATCAAATAACCGCATCATATTTTGTTGGCCATGAAAATTTTCCCCAAGAAAAAAGACAGACCCATAAGGGTCTAGATCCTCTCTATTTCAATTTTCTCAGCATCTCTTAGAATCTTTAAATCCTGACCGCTCAAACAATCTAAAGGCTCACAATATCTCACATCACAAGGCATTCAAAATGCACCTCAACCGTTCATTGTTTTAATCTTGATGGTCCATTCTCAGCATCATTAAAATATGTACAGAAACACTCCAACTCAAACATACATCGATTTTTTGGAATTGTGTTGTGAGCTTGGCGGGAAAACTATCAAGAAGCAAGGTAAGAAAACTATCAAGAAGCAAGGTAAGATAAAATGACTCATCTCTTTTCATAAAAGATTGTATCTTTTACATATTTTCACAGTCAATGTGACAAAAATCTAAAAGTTTTTTTTTTATAAACTTCCTCTCCATTTAAAACAGAGGCTTTTTATTTTTATGACAATGCCATATTACTTTTATTTAACAGTTTAGAATATTTATTTATTGTCTCTATGATTTCACTAATGATTATATAAAATCAAACTGTTGCATTTTATAGTCTTATTTATAGCTTAATAATCCGTTAACGTTACATGGACGAGGCTATTCTTTGCGCTTGACATCATGGACTTTTCATTTTATAAGCTCAATGTCCTATTTAATTTTTTGCTGTGATTTTTTTTTTGTAATTTCTGATTTTCAAAAAAAAATTCTATTGTGTAATTTGTTATAAAATTTTTGTTATCTAAATGTTTGTGAATGACCTTGGCTAAAGTTTTATCAGTTTTTGTTGGCTGAATGTTTCTTTCTATAAGCTTAAGGATGAATTTCATCACGCGCGTGTGTGTATAAGTATTGGTGACCTATATGTGCGTGTTTCATACATTTCTTTTGTAGGTTTCAATCTATGGAAGCTGATTTGGCTCCTAGAGTAGGGAAAGAATTTGATAATTTAAAGGAGGCATGGAGGTTTTGGAATGATTATGCTTCTAGAGTAGGTTTTTTTTTTTTTGTATATAAAGTCACAGATAAACCGTGTAAAGGATGGCTTAAGTCAAATCAAAACTTATGAACCGATGACACCTTAGAAGTGGAATGTCATAAATTAAAATGTTTGTATTTTTTTTTAATGTATACAAGGACACGGATAAAGTAGGTTTCAATGCACGAAAAAATGGGTTAACAGAGAGTAAGAAGGAAAAAAAGACATTTATTGCTTATAGATATGTGTGTGCAAAAAGGAGGCAAATGAGGACCAGACAAAAGGTACACAATGGCCACCAATCATTGTCCTGAGACTAAGATTAATTGTAAAGCAGGAATGACAGTTAGTTTAGCGCAAGGGAAATCCAAGATCACTAGCTTTATAGAAGATCACAATCACCCGTTGCATCTTCAAGCATCTGTGCATATGATGAAGTCTCAATGAAAAATTAGTACCATGCAAGCAAATGAGATTGATTTGGCTAGAGATGCTGAATTTCAACAAAAAGCAACTTTTGACCTTATGAGCAAGCAAGCAGGTGGACAAGCTAATTTTAATTTCACTCAAGTTGATATGAAAAATTATTTAAAGGCTAAACGAAGAAGAAGTATGAACGATAGAGATGTTGAATGTTTATTGAATTATTTTGAAGACTAGATTACTGAAAACCCTTCATTTTACCAGTCATATTAACTTGATATGGAATATCAAATTACAAATATTTTTTGAATTAATGCTCGGATGCTTGTAGATTATTCTTATTTTGGAGATATAATTTCATTGGACACCACATATTGCACAAACTATAATCATAGGCCTCTTGCCATATTTGCAGGATTCAACCATTATAGAGGAATTGTAATTTTTGGGGCAGCTTTGCTATATGATGACACCATCGAATCTTCAAGTGGTTGTTAAAAACTTTTTTGAAAGCAAACAAGCGAAAGAGACATACAACTATTTTTATTTATCAAGATCAAGCAATGGCAAGAGTGCTGAGAAACGCCTGAGTCATTAACCAGAATAGCAGAAACAGGGATGGAGGGTTGAAAATGCAACCAACAGTATCCATGGAAGGAGCAGGAGCAATAAGAAGCATCTTTGCAAGAAACAGCTCGATAAAGCTCAGAGCAATCCATTTCAATCACTACTCAGATGCTATATTGATGGCTTTTTCACAAGCTAGTAAGTCAGTCATGAAGCTTGAATCAGCTATGACTTGTTCCCTCCATTGCTTGACTATTACTCCAATCGCTGCCCTCTTTCAGGATCGAATAAAGGCCCCATCGCAATTGATCTTGAATGTATCACACTCAGGGAAACTCCAACCAGCATTAAAGGTCTCATTGACGGAAGAACTCACTCGATTGTCGCAATTGATTTATAAATATATAGGACCCAAGGAGTAACCTAGAGGCAAAGGACTTGTTAATATCTTTTTCACAACATAACCAATGCACCAACTTTCTTGAGTTTGGGACAGCGTCATTAATCCTTCTGTGTGCTCTAGTTTGCTTTTCACAAGTCTTGCATCAGTCTGTTTCTATTTACAGGTAAGATAAAAAAAAAAAAAAAGGCTGTGAAAATTTTACAGCAAGTGTATGAAAAGTTTTAACTGAAGTATACTAAATTTCTAATAAAAAGTACATTAAATTTAATTTAATTTGAAATAAACAATTAGACACTTCACACCTGCTAAGAGAAAATCACAAACAAAATTTAAATTAAAAAATCCAATGGAACTAATTTGTCTACTGGCAGTCCGATACTATAAAGGGGGTGTTTGTTTAGGGTTATTTTGGGAAGGGGGGTTGCTTTTTCCCCCCCTTAAAAAATGAATTTTCAAATTTTGCTAGTTGTTTGTTTAAACTCTCTTTTCTTTTTTTTTTTTTAAAAAAAAGCAAAATCTGAAAAAAAAATCAAATTATTTTTTTGAGCTATTTTCACTAACTTCTTCAAATAATCCAGGGGGTAGATGAGAGAGAAAAATGATGAAACATGGAAGATGGTACTATTAAAATATTTGGGACAAAATTGCTCAACTCATTTTACACCTTATCTGCCATGCTCTTGCCTGCACTCTCGCTTAGACCGACAAAAATTCATCGTCCTCCATCAATTCTGACACCAACAACAACCACTGCCACCGTCCACCACTTCAAGTCTCTCACCTTCCACCCCTCTTCTCTTTTTTTGATCTCTTCTCTTCAAACTTCTTGCCAATCTCTTCTCAAGTTAGGATTAGATCAATTTATGATTGTAATAAATTTGGTTGAGTATGTCCTTCTTCGACCCAGCATTTTACCTTGCATGAATCTATATTTTGGGCGTTATAAAAAGAGATAGAACAAAAAAAAAAAAAAAGACCCCCGGGCTACAATCACCATTTTCTGAGTAGTGGAACCCATTGACATTAAGAGGGACAAAATTTTACCTTTTTACCATTCCTTACTATGGCCATTGCTTGCCAAAGCATTCAATGCACAAACATATATTCCCTCCATCTTTATATATAACATATTTTTAATTAAATTACATAAATTAATAAAATTTAATTATTTAATTAAAATCATAGTAACGTTTCAATTTTACTCCTAATTATTATAAATTAAAAATAAATATATTTTTTAAAAGCAAATTGATAAGAGAATTTATATTTTACTCTTTCAAATTTAATAAGGACATAATAGTCCATTTATTAAAAAATATATTAATAACTCCTTATATTTAAGAATAAAAAAAATTTTAAAATACTTCTCATATATAAAAATAAATGGAGTATATAGAATAGGGGAGGAAGTTTGTGGGGGGCCTTAACAACAACGTAGTTCCACCTTTAAACAAGAAATCTTAAATTCAAATTTAAATTTATGTGGATGAAAAAAATACTTTTATTGAGTTCAGCAATAAACAAATATATACTAATCAAATAACCATATCATATCTTGTTGACCATGACAATTTCCCCCAAGAAAAAAGACACGTAAAAAGTTACTTCAACTAGATGTAACTAGATATAAACCTGGTGAATTGCCATCTAAAAACTAGTTCAATTATTAATAACCCGAATATGTTAAGATGCTCGTCGCTCCACTCTCGCATCCACAACCAAAAAGAAGTGACTAAAGGCAAAGGGAACACCCAAATCATCTATATTCTAGGATCAGTGATAAGTAAACAACGAGGGAAGAAAATCTTACAAGGATTAGAACTGCGATGAAGAAAGAAAGTATAGATAAAATAAGATCTATAAATTATAAAATCAGACGCCATATAATTTTGAGTCAAAAGGTGACGTTAAATCCAGTTATAATTTTTTTCCCCTCTTGAAGTCCGTTGAGAAGTCTATCGAGACACAAGACCTATCAGATCTTCCCAGTGTTTGAAACTCTCTCAACCCATAGCATTAACCTTACATATATTCTTCGATCTCGTAAAGACAGAATATGCGATGGCTTCTTGAAGAGACCTTACAAACTCATTCATAAGTAGAGCTAGTTTCTCATGGCTTGATGAAGCTACCTATATAGCAGCGTGCTAGGAAATGTATTACCCTCCCAGTGAGGAGGGGTGGCAAAACAACTTCATGGAGCACGATAATAATGGTTTAGCATCGTGAACTACACTTATCTCATATTGGCCAAGTCCTGTTAATTCCAGCGATGCTGGTACACTGCTATATCTATCTCTGAGCTGGTACACTGCTATATCATCAAGTGGTTCAGAAACAAAACCACTAAAAGCAAATTCAAAACAATAAAATAAAGACACATATAAATACCATAGGAAGAGTCATTCATAGACTGGATATACAGAGTATTGTCGATACATCCAATCTCCATTCTCCAGTATTTCCCCAATACCCCTAAAACAAGTTATTAGCTTCTATATAGATGACAAGACGGCCCATTGACATTCATTGACCTCAACAGTAGTGATACTAGATATATTCAAAAAGATAAAAAAGGAGCCCCGAGCCAGAAATTATATCAGAAGCTATACAATAAATCAGCCTTCATAGAAAACATCGCATGTTTAGTCACATTCCACCGACAAATCCGCAGTTTCCCTCATAGATACTGCGCTGTTCACTCAAGCAAACGTTTTCCCAAGATCATGAATAAACTTGAGCACTTTGCCCATCTCATTATGTCACTGTCGGTTTTAAATAACGAATTAATTATATCCTATATCTCTAATTATGATTATTTGCTTTGAAAATAAGGTAGCATCACCCATGAACAGCATATATTGCAATATATTATTTATACCATGTCATTATATGTCCAGTCAAACAGGACAACAGGCATGCAACTTCCAGTAGACGCAAGTAATGCTGACCCAAGGGGTCAAAACTATTAGTTACCTATTATCAGCCTTCAATTTTCTAATAAAATTAATAAAAGTATTGCATGAGTTAAACCATCAACAGGAACAGGCTACAACAATAACTAGTGCAAATGAGTCAAAAGTAGTTGAAATCACTCACGATTATTTCCTGTTCTACACTTTAGCATGAAGAAATTTCCAAATATAAGCCATCAAGCAAGGAATTGAACACCCAAAAATAACAATAGAGACAGCCTAACTCTATTTGCATTCAATAACATTATTGAATGCACAGCACAAGGAAGAGATTTATGCCCCTTAGCCCACCCCTGCATAGCTAGGTGCTGGTTAAAAATGCAATTGTCCCATTATGTAGTATTATAAGAGTATGAGTATGTAAAGGGCTAAACAACTTTTATCAACAAATACCAATCACATGGATAAAGAAGTTAGACAGAGACTAATGCTGGAAAAGAAAAGCAAAAGATGTGGAATAGATATCAGGTTGCATCAACCTAGAAGAAGCATATGATCATGACAAAGCATATGGTTACGCATGTATATCATGTAAAATCTATTCTTTTAATCAGCTATCATTATAATTTAGATTCACGAATTCGAAGTCTGTTAAAAGATCAATTGCCAGAAACTGATTGGATTGTACGCAAAATTGATATATATGTATTGAACAACTCAATGTCTTGACACCCCACCCCCTTAGGGGGGGGAGAGGCCCTCTGAAACCATTTATTTTCAGTCTGACTCAGCCTGATGAAAAGACGTTTCACACAGCTTGGCTGAACAGAATAAAATTGTAACAATTAGCAGTAATGGGAATGATCAGCTTAAAATCAATTCAGAACTCCATTTTTAGCACCCTCGATTGTATTTTCTGAAAAATGATAACAAGAAATACAAAAAGAACTGAGATCTCACTTAGGATGCAAAGGTGATGCACATGGATTCCCTAATAAAGGCAGTAAGGCAGCCAAATCTGCCAAAGGCATGCAACTGGCTGAAGGCACCCACCCTCATCATCAACAAGCAAGGGCCTTTCTGATGCCTTACTCCAACAACTTAGGCTTCCCTTAAACTTCACTATTATTTCAAATTCCATAATGCCAAGGCAAATTCCATAATGCTAAGGCCCACCTTAACAGCACAACTTTCTTCCATTCTAACAAAATCTTACCACGTACAAATTCCAAAATTCCATCCTTTCCAAATTTAAATGCAGTAACTCCAGACTCCAGAGCTGTTTATCATGTGTGAGTCATAAAATTTAAAGGTGCATCCTCAATTCAATGTGAGTCATACAATTTGAAGTTACCTCCTCACTGAACAGAGGAAAATAGAGTTATAGTCACAAATGATACAAAATACACTAAAAATTTAATTATATTTCCTGAGGGGAAAGAAGAAAGAAAAAACAGGATATGAAGTTTCACCATTTGTATTTTCCATAGATCAGGACTAGTTGCGCCTTCTTGAGAATCTAGATAATATTGTATTAGATCGAGTTCTTCGGCTCACATTTGAATCAGTACTGGAAGAACGGGAGAAGGAAGTCCTAAGCCACCCGAAGTGTGAGAAGAAGTTCCGGAAAGCACTACCTAATCCCCGTGTCTCCCTTGATCTCCTCACACTCGTTTCCCAAGATATCCTCCGTGGAACCCCCACACTATTGAATCCACCGTCCATTTCTGTATATACAACAGGAAGTTCACGTTCAGCAGCTCTTCTTCCCCCAGTGAACCTTCCTACAGCAAAACCACCACCAGGTAGTCTCCATATAGTTAATCCCACAGTATGATCATCCCTTCCGCCGTTAGACACAGGGGAGTTTCTGCCACTACTACTCCCACGCATCTCAGTAGGTAACTCATGGCGACAAACTGGACAGGAATTACGAATTGAGAGCCATGGAAGGATACAATCAGAATGATAAATGTGCTTACAAGGCATTTCACGAGCATCCGAGTCAAGCTCGAAGGGTTCCTTACAAACTGCACAATGTGATTCCGCCGAAACATGTGTGGCAACAATCTTGACGATGGGCATCGATTCGATTGCAGATTTCGATGCTGGAGTTTGATGTAATCGTCCTATTCCCGTGACTTCTAAATGAGTCAATTGGTCCAGAAGGTGGTCAAATCCAGCACCCATCAAGAACTCTGTAACACTTGCAGGAAGCGGCCGAAGACCCGAACCTGTACCTTCGTTGTAATAAAGCTCGAAGTTCCCTCTTTCAATGCCAACCCCTTCATTTCCACCGCCACCGCCATCGGCGGGTCCACTGAGGACGATAACAGGGTTAAAAGGGGATCGATCGCCGGCGTTCCGCGGGCCACGGCGGATTCTTGGGCTGGCTCCTTGCTCTAAGCTAGACTCATCGTCGACGTAAATTGATGGCGAAGGGAATCGATGGAAAGGAGAGTGAGTACGAGTCCTGATTTCTTCTATAAAACCAGACCCACAATCAGGGCAAAGCAAGGTTTCATCAGCCCCAATTCGAACCCTAACAAACTGATTGCATCTGTAGCACCAATAGGAAGATCCCACTGAAGCCATTATAAACCAGATCGAGCAAGAACTAAACTAAGCCTCACTGAGAAAGAATCAACGCAAAAAAAGAAAAAAAAAACCCCAAATCTTTTCTCTTTCACCTTTAATGCAAGTATCGAATTAAAAACCCTAACTTTTAATGGAAATAACTCAAAATTTGGAACTCGAATGCAGATGCCAAACCAAATGCTTTGAACTGATTGAAGCGTGAAAGCGAACAAAGCGAAAATGGCAAGTGGGAGAAGAATAAATAAAGGATGCTGCCCTGCCTTGAAAGGAAAGCGCGTTGTTCGTGGATGGAAGCTTTTGAAAAAATTTAACTTTCAAAAATGAAAATAACTAGTAATTAATTAATTAATGCTAGACAGAGTTTATTTAATTTAATTAGTGGCACAGAAATCAGCGCGAGAACAGTACAATGAACGTCGTTCATTTGGTTCTCGTAATTACCAAAATGTCTCATGCGAAGGGTAACGACGAAACAATTTTGAAATATCCTTTTAATTATCTCTCTCTCTCCTTTATTTTTGCTATGAAAATGAAAGATACTTTATTCACTTGCTCTGCTTCAAATGTTAAAAAAAAAAAAACTTAATTAATCAAGAAGGATTTACAAAACGGTTTTGAATTAATTCAGTAGTAGTTTTATAATCGATTATCAATTAATTGCTGCGTCAGCAAGTAGCAATATGTCTGAAAATTAATTAGAAACACAATCCATAATCTCAGAACCTAGGCCCTAAAAATGTTGTCAATTAGCTAGATTGTGCACTTATTTTAAATTCTGGTAACAAATGCAAGGCAAAATTGTCATTGAGAAAATATATGTGACCAAATAAGCTATATGATTTACTATTTGTTTTATTATTTTCCCCTTTACAAGATAGGAATCCTGCACGAGAGTATATTACATTCCAACCACAATATTCCTTGTCACATGGGCCCTGAAATAGAAGAGTATTATATTCCTTTCAATTCTATTTGTAAAAAAAAATTAAAATAATTTTTAATTAAAAATATAAGACATTTTTTAATAATTAAATTATTTTTTTAATTTTATTCCTTTAACATAAAAGTATTTAATATAACTGTATTATTATTTAATATCAAAAGTAAAAATAAAATTACAAAATTAATTTTTAAAAAATATATAAAATGGTTGAAAGTGTGGTGTATACTAAAGATAGGAGAGAATATCAACCGGGTTAGTGATTCTTAAATTGATAGCAAATCAAAGCTAAAATATATCTTTCTTTTCTTTCTCATTTTAATATTTACTTTGAGGATATAGGTAAAAATATTTGGTCGAAAAAGCACATGTTATGGGCAAACGTTAGGTAATAGTCAAAGGATAAATTAGATTAACTACGGTTGACTTAAATTGGGAGGAAGGTCATCAGGGCAAACTTTTCCGAAAATAAAATAATGTCCACCGCGAATGGGTGGAAAAATATGAATTACATGATTCCTTACAATTTTATATATAAGTTATTTGTAGCATGATTCACCCTAATAAAAAAAAACTTAAAACAATAGTTATTAATTCTATCTAAAAGTTTAACAAATTTTTAACTTCATTTATATTAAATATACATCACAAGGTACTTTCTTTTAAATCTTACTAACATTTAATGAGAGAAAAAAGAAAAACTTGTAAAAAAAAGATTTAATGTCATTTCTTATAAATATGAAAAAAGAATCATTCTTTTCCTATCTATTGAAAGGAGTATCATATTATATAAATGAAAGTTGGGGTTCAAGCTCCAACTATTTGTTTAAGTGGTAAAAATTTCTGCTATTCGAACACATTAACTTTAGTTGGTATCATGTTTATTTTGAAATGAATTAAAAGATCTGAAATGGACGAGGAATTTGAAGTAAAATCAGTGAAGGTGGCATGAAATGTGTAAGTGGAAAAAACATAGGAAATGAAGAAGCAGTTTAAAAGAAGTGAAAAACTTGATTCGTGGGGGAGCTGTCATGTTGTGTGATGAATGTGGGATCATATGGCCACATCACATGTGCTTGTGCCTCCAAATGAATGGATATGGAAATGCTTCTTCATGTAGCACAGCCACATCAGCCAGCGATAAGCCTCCATTGCAAGCAGCAACATGACAAATGGGAGGCTTCTGCTATTATTGTCCGCCAAGATTTCTAGTTATGTTGCTCTGTTAAATGGGAAATATAAGCTGAAACGGACAACTGGGGGCCGGACTTAGCATTTACCACCATCCAATTTGCTACATAATTTAGACTTATATTCTTAAAAATATATTATTTTTTGAATTACAATAATCAAAATATATCTCACACGTGTGTATTCAAATTTCAATTTAAATGATATACTTATGAGAAAATGACAGTTAGAGACCCCATAAGAATATTAATGATAGTTACAAATCTTAAATTATTAAAATCTCAATAACAAACCATAATCCTTACTTGCAGCAAATTATCTTTTATTTATCAACTTGAAATTCACAACATATTTTAGTAAATTTTTCACTAGTCATAAAGATTTCCAACTATCTTCTATTGATTTTTTAAACCATACCAAAAAATTACAAGTAATTTGTTTGCAATTTAAAAATGACTCTTGTAAATTCGCAATTGACATTATGAATAATTCCAAGTATATTTAGAATATTTTTCAAACGATTGATCTATATATTGACAATAAAAAAAAGCATAAATGATTGGCGTATGATTCACAATCAACTCTTCTAAATTCCCAATTAATATTACAAATAATTTTAAGTGTATTTACTTAATTTTTCAAGTAGTTTATTTGTATAATGAAAAAAAAAATTACGATTCACAACGAACTTTTATGAATTTTCAATTAACGTTACAAATAATCTTTAAGTGTATTTAGTATATTTTTCAACTAACTGTTCATATTTTTTTAATTATAAATAAGAACTATGATTTGTTATTAAAATTTTACCAATTCAGGATTTGTAATTGTCATTAATATTTTTATGGGGTCCTAAATTGTCATTTTTCCTATACTTGTGGCCAGTTTGGTTCACGCAATAAATATGGTAATGTAATTACAAGAAATGGAATGTAAAATAATAATATAATATTGATTATTATGAGTTTGTTTTCATGGTAAGTTATTGAAAATGCTGAATACAAATTTATCTTTTATATTTAATGTTGATTAGCATGATCTTGTTTGGCAAAAGAGACAGTGGGGAGAGAAGGAGTATTACTGGCTAGATATGATAATTACCCAGTTTATGGTAATAATGACCATATAATATAATCCCCTTTCCATTACCAAAATCCAACCAAACCCAAGGAATGAGTAAAAATGCATCTGCCTTTTTATGCAAGGAATGAAACCAAATGGGCCGTTAGGTTGTCCATGCAGAATGGAAGACAGCCCAACAAGGCAGTGACCTGACATGTGATAGGGACGAAGACAAAGCAGACACTAGTAATGTGGTTGCAAGGCTTCCAGAGTCTTTTTGTGAATAAAAAAGTGGAGGAATGTAGCACCAGTAATGCTCTTGTGAAGCAGGACCAACATCAATACCTCCGTATCAACATGAACATCAACATCATTTTCTTCTCGCATTTAAAATCCATACATTTAAAATTATTTATTTGAATCATACAAAACTGATTAAAAATAAAAAAAGAGATTAATTACTATTTAAAACAGAAATAAAAGATTAAAAGTGACAATCTTACTTCTATTTTTTAATCAGTAAGAGAAAAAAATGATAAATGAGATAGATGAGAAGACTAAAAAAGTCACCAGCAGTAAAAATATGAAAAAAAAAACTGAAAGAATTGGAGTAGATGGAATTTCAAATAATTAGGATCTATATATAATTTAAAATTATAAAAAAATTTATATGATAAAACATGAATTTGGATTATCCATCCCCATTCATCTAAGCACATCTTAAGCTTATATGTTGTTGATATGTCTTTGTCATTGAATGAGACCATCCTTTGCACAGAATCTAAAATAATTCACATTGTTTATGGCTTATGAATGATACATCTTCTTATAGATTTTTTATTGTATATTATTGTAAAGGCTTCTCGATAAAAACATAATTTTTCAACTGAACATCACTCACTCAATTTTGTTTATAATTATATAATTATTTATAAATGTCAATATAAAATATAAATTTTATAAGAAGCTTCACAATAAAAAGTTTATAAGAAGTTGTGTTATTTAAGGTTTGGTTTCTATGCTAAGCAATGTGGTGGTAATGGACACGTGGTACTCACCATGCAAACGGCTGCTCGTATTGAGGGATATGAGGAAATGCTCTCCTCTTTCATTTTGGGTTAAGACTTTCTTCAAGGACCAAAAAAAAAAAAAGAAAAAGAAAGAGAGAGAGAGAGAGAAAGATATTAGCCAATGAAACTAGTTTTCATGGGACCCAACATGATTCATGAGCTTGTAAATTTATTTCTCAATTTCTATGAATAAACTAATAAAGAATTATACTTTAGTTTAATATTATAAAATATTTTTAATCTCATTACACTTCTAAGTAAGTTAGTTAATTATCTTTAAAATTACACACTCTTTCTTTTAAAAAATAAAAATTACACTATTTAATAGGGTACATCAATTATAAAAGTAGTTAAAAAAAATTTTATTAATCAAACATTGAAAGACCCCAAATATCTTACATTTTTTTACCATTTTATCTAAAAAAATGTGTATATATTACTACATTCAAGGAAAAAAAAAGTAGGAGGGAGAATATACATAAGCAGTAAAATTATTATACTCATTAAAATAAAAAATCTAAAATATATTTTTTTTAGAATTGGTTTTTCACATGTTGTACAAAGTCCATAAGTTATGTTGGTGAGTTTTTCACAAGTAATTTCAAGGGAGAATCATATATAAGGCTCTCATGTGACAAATAATTGCTCGTAGGGTCCAATAGATTGTGAAAATACTTTGTAAGCCCAAAGGCCTTCTATACAATTCATTTTGAAATTGTAAATACCAAACTTACCTTGATCTGAAATGTTCTCTCTCCTTTTCCCTCTCTCTCTCTCAATTCACCCTCATAGTCCTGTTTTCCAAATTTGCATAAGATTAAGTGAAGAAAAGGAGAAAAACCATAGGCTTAAACTATTGCTAGCCAAAGAAATATTATTTAATTTCACTTTTTTACTTGAATTATTTAGGGATTTTGCTTGAGAAGAACATTTTGGAATCCTTCACTAGAATTTGAACTAGTTTTTGGGTTTAAGATAAGTGATAGTTGAATTCAAAAATTTGTTGGGTTTGTTGTTCTGTTGAAAGCCCAAGGCTTTTATTGCATCCTCATGTGCTTGGACGGAGTCTAAACACTTGAAAACATGAAGCTCTCTAGATTTTGAATGCTCTAGATCCCATAAAGCATAGTAAAACAGGGACCCATCTCTAAAGTTCTCTCTAGATTTTGACACTTGATTTGTTTCAATAATCAAGCGAAGTCCATTAATTTTTCAATCAAATATCCATTTAACAAGCACACGTGGTTTTGGCAATTAAATATTTTTGCTATATAAATGGATCTTTTATTATTAATATATAGACCTTATTGTGTTATTTATGGATATTCTGTTGTAAACTCCATTAGGGTAACTTGTCTATTGTGGTTCCACTAAATTATATGGACCTTGTGTCATTAATATATGAATCTTTAAACATTATTTACAAATGTTTTATTGTAAATTCCACCAAGATAATTTGTGTTTTCTAGTTCTACTAAATCACATAGACAATGTATAAAGTACATTCATTTTATTGTTAATATATGAACCTTTTAATGTTATTTATAGATGTGATGTTGTAAATTTCACGGGGATAACTTTTATATTATAGTTCTACTAAAACACCCATACCTTGTGTTGTTAATATGTAAACTTTTTAATGTTATTTATGGATATTATGTTATAAATTATACCAAGGCAACTTATACATTCTAATTCTATTAAATTATACAAACAATACATAAAGGAAAATATAATTTTATATCCCTATACTTTGCTCCCATTTTGCTATTGGCTCTTATACTTTTTTCTGTGTTTTTGATCCTTATAATTTAGTTTTTTTATTATTTTAAGTCCCTCCATGAAAAAAGTATAGGGATCTTGGAGGGACCTAAACAATGAAAAATAAAAGTACAGGGATAAAAAATATTAAAAAAAGTTTAGAAATCAATATAAATATAAGGATTTAAAGTTATGTTTTTTCATATATAAAATACAAACCTTATGTTGTTTGCATATGAACCTTTTGATGTTATTTACGGATATTCTATTGTAAATTTCACCAAGATAACTTATATATTATAGTTTTACTAAACCATGTGGACCTTGTGTTATTAATATGTGAACCTATTGATGTTATTTATGGGCGTCTTGTTGTAAATTCCACAAGGATAACTTGTACATTTTAATTCTACTAAACCACATGGACAATTTATAAAGTAAGGACCTTGTGTTATTATTGTGTGAACATTTTGATGTTATTTATGAATATTTTGTTGTAAATTTCACCTAGATAACCTATACATTATTGAGCTACTAAACCACACAAATAATATATAAAGTATGGATTTTGAGTTGTTAGTATATGGACATTGTCATGTTATTTATGGATAATCTGTTATAAATTTAACTTGGGTAGCTTATACATTTCATTGAAAATAATTTAACCATCACACCATAGGAAGTGTTCTCCTAATATACACTACAATATTTTCCCTACATTATTTACAAAAAAGCAATTCCATATACAAAAAAGCAATTTAAGATAACACAAACACAATCCTAAAGTAATCCTAATTGCATTTACACTATAATATTTCTATTAGTAAGGTTATCTTATCATTTTTGTTTTCCTTTGACAGCTACTCTAATGCTCCCTCTCCTCTTTGCTCATCTTGTTCAAAATTCTAACTGACACATCATCTGAGTTTGCCATCTCTTGTATGAACTTGTAATAAACAAATTAATTTTAAAAAATGTCCAGATATCAAAATATAACTTTTATTTCCTACAACTGAACATTTAATATAAACAGTATAACATTCATGTTTTCACAATATATACTCTTGTGTTTTAATAGGACATTTTCATGATAATGGACAAGTCATGACTTTTCCAATTCACATGTGAACATTCAATATAAATAAGCAAATTATCATAATTTCATAATAAATAATTCATTCCAAAACATCCACTATTGATTTAGAGTTTAATAAATAAGTCAAATTATATCAGCAATCAAATTAAAACTACAATTCCAATTTTTATAACATCATTACAATGCATTTTTTGGAGCAAAAATTCATCTCATATGTACCTTATATTATAGTTAGAAAATGAGCATTCCATATAACGTTTATGTGCAATTTCTAGCTTTAGCCACTCTAATTGCAAGAAGTCCTCCTAGAATACGTTGATCGATCCATTCAATATAATGTGAAGACAAAAGTACTGTTGACAGAGCCTTGTCTTCTGCATAACTCTAGTCTACTAACTAGTGTAGTGGACAAATTAGCTTCAAACAAAATAGGGTATTGCCAGAGAGCAAATCCACCAAAAAGTAAACCAAATGCTTCCTATCACATTATTTAGAAAGGAAAATCTTTTGCCAAAAAACAAAGCTAGAGCGTGCAATTTTTTTGAATCTGGAGCGCATGACAACTTCAATCATCATTTTGAAGCATTAGGTCTCTGATTATAACAATAATGGGAGAAAATATAATAGAAAAATGGGATTAAATGCCACCAACAGATAATATTGTCACAAGTTCTTTAGGGAAAATTTATCACTGTATGTTCCTAGGGCATTCTACAGAATAAATATATGTATGTATGTGTGTGTGTGTGTGTGTATATATGACAATTCCATCTTCAAAACTTAATGTCTTCTTAAAGCTTTCCTGAATAGAACATTTTCCCTAAAAAAAAAAACACCCAACTACAAGGGCATAATACTTAAATGAAGCATAGCGTTATTATTTTACAATAAACAAATCTATACCCATCAATTGAAAACGTTTCAGATCAAAGCTTGAGGAGGAAGAGAAAGAAGGAAGAGGGAGGAAGAAGAAGAGAGGGAAGAAAAAAGCATGATGAGGAGGAAGAGAAAAGTTGGTTAGTGCATTTGAATAGAGAAAAGCAAGAGTGAGAAGAAGAGAGTCATCGAAGAACAACTGATTATAAAAGAGGCAAATGGGTCATTTTATTGAAAATATAATTGCAAATGAAGCTCTTGAGCCCTCAAAATAGTTTTAGATTCCATTAGATCTTATTTGAAAATTTCTTGCACATAGGGGTCTTGAATGTGATTCTCTCTAGTTTTGATGGCCAATTCTTTTTACTTTTCTATTTTGTCCCCAAGCAAAAGTTTTAATTAAAAATGAGATAGCAGAATTTCCTTCATATGACCCAAAACAAGGCGTTATTTACTTGATGACTATCATTTACCATGCACTTATCGCATTCCTAAGCAAGGAAACCAAATCTCTATTATTTATGAGCTATGTCATGTATACGTAATCTAATTCTATTTATAAATTACTTTTACATGTTTTATCATAATTAAAAAAATTTAAATTTTATTAATTTTATCTTACAATTTATTAATTTTCTACCTCTACCACCTAATAAAGACAAAAATACTTATTTTTAATAATTTTTTAGACATTTAATAAGGCAAAAATATAAAGATGAACATAAAAAATAGTAAAGTTTTTTATAAATAGGATAAAAAATAATTTTCTATCCAATAAATGGGACCACAGTAACTCATCTTAAATTTTATGTAACAGTAACACACAGAGAAAATGTTCCTATTTATAACTTTATTTGACTATATGATAAGAGATACACAAAAAAGTAGTTATCCCATTATTTTCGGCCGAACGGGATTTGGTTTTCTTCTTGGTTAATTTTTTTTAAAGAAGGCAGTATATCAAATTTGGGCTAACATGGCTATTGGCCCATATGTTATAAGGCCCACAGCCTCCTAGCTTCAGGCTTTCATCACCTCGTCTTCGGTTCGCACGCGCCTTTCCTGCGTCCACCTTTTTCTTGAATTCTGTTGAACATTGGAGAAGGTTCGTGAATAAGTCGCCCATTTGCTGCTATATATCTAAATTTCACGGAGATTTGGAAAACTTTTGTATTCATCACTAGTTCTCAATTATCGTTGCTGGTTCCGGATCAAGGTTTTCTGCGGTCTTCTATTACAGTCAATCCAGAAATGGCCAAAGATGGACCCAACTGGGAAGGTTTGCTCAAATGGAGTCTCGCTCATTCCGATGGAACTCGACCCACTGGCAATATAAGGTGTGTATTTTTATTTCTCTGATTATAGATTCCGGTCAATATGATTGTAAAGTAGCTTTTATTTTGTTCTAATTGTGAAAAGTGCATACCTAGATGTACAACATTTTCCTTCAAGTCAGTATTTGTTCTTGAATTTGGATACGAATGAGGGGTCTGATGTATTTTTCTATCGATTCCCTAGTGAGGAGGACCGGAGATGGTTTATGGAAGCTATGCAAGCGCAGACCGTCGATGTCATAAAACGTATGAAAGAGATTACCCTTGTTATGAAAACTCCAGAGCAAGAATTGGAGGCTCAAGGAGTTACCCCCGCTGAAATTGAAGGTATCTTATATTCATAATAGCGTAAAACCATCTGGAAACATTCCCTCCCCCCCCCCCTTCGGGAGGGATAGTATTAATTACTTATCTTTAATCTCATACTGAGTCTTCTCTGGTCGCGTATGCATGGCCTAAATTCCGACAGATATGCTGGATGAGTTGCAGGAGCATGTGGAATCCATAGATATGGCAAATGGTAATGATTTTTTTTCGTGCTTCTTAAACTTGGATTTCTTCGAAGGAATATAAAAAGTGTTCTCATGTAGAATACTTGCTTCTGTTTGCTTTTGGAAGTTTCCAATATTAGATTCTTATAAATTTGAAAACTGATTTTTAATTATGTAATACTCCATTGCATGCCGAAGGCGCTCTCTTGACCCTCTAACAACACGCGTTCAATAATAAATTTTAACAATCAGTTAATTTTCTTAGCATGTTCATTATGTAAAACAAAAGTAACAAATAAAGTTCATAAGTTCAGCTTTTGTTGGTCGAAATATTTTGAAAAGTATCATAGTGAACATATTTTTTCTGGATGGGCAATTGTTAAATTCTGTACCTTCCCCTTTAAAGTCTAATAATTCATATGACCTTATTTTACCGTGCGATAATGTTGGTGGTTTACAAAGATTTCATAGATTGTGCTCTTGTTGGCCCAAAATTTTGGGCTTTTTTATTCGTTTATTTTCGCGGGTCAGGTTACATTGTTCCTATGTTTTCTCGTGTTTGACAAAGGAAAGAATCAAAGAAAATGTGGCAACAAATTTTAGAAAATCTATTAGTCATTGGATATACTTTTTCAACTGTCTAAAGCAGTGTGCCTGAACTATTTCCTCGTCTTCATATATGTCCCAGATCTTCACTCCATTGGTGGTTTGGTTCCTCTTCTTGGTTACCTCAAGAACCCTCATGCAAATATTCGAGCAAAGGCTGCTGATGTTGTGACTACAATAGTCCAGAATAATCCAGAGAGTCAGGAACGTGTTATGAATGCAAATGGTTTTGAACCTCTTATTTCTAATTTCAGTTCAGATCCTGATGTGAAAGTCCGAACTCAGGCACTTGGTGCAATATCTTGTAAGTCTGCTTGGGGGATTTATCATTTATGACAGCAATATCTTGTTCCTGAGTTTGGAATGGTTTTTTGACTTGTTTCTTCTTGGGATGACTTGTCAGCATTGATTCATCACAACAAAAAAGGCATCACTGCATTTCGACTAGCAAATGGTTATGCATCCTTAAAAGAAGCATTGTCCTCTGAAAATGTGAGGTTTCAAAGGTAATTTAGGGAAATATTTAAACTGATCTGTACAATACGAAGCTGATATTTTCTATTCATGGATCTGAAGTTCATTTTTTGATTTATCCTTGTGACGTCCAACCATATTATTATTATTAATTATTAATTATTAAAGACTCTGATCTTGTCTTTCTTGCCATCTCTCAGGAAAGCACTTAACTTGATCCACTACCTATTGCAAGAGAATGATTCAGATTGCAGCATACTGCATGAGCTAGGATTTCCCCGTTTGATGATGCATCTTGCCTACAGCGAAGATGCAGATGTCAGAGAAGCTGCTCTTCGTGGCCTTCTTGAGCTAGCTCGCAACGAGAAAGATGGTGCTGCTAGTATGTCAGGGGAAGATGATGGTAAAATGAAACAACTTCTTCAAGAACGGATAAATGGTATTGGTTTAATGTCAGCCGAGGACCTTGGGGCAGCTAGGGAAGAAAGGCATCTTGTGGACTCTCTTTGGCGTACTCTCTTTAACGAGCCATCTTCCCTTAGGGAGAACGGTCTTCTAATCCTTCCCGGTGAAGATGCGCCCCCACCAGATGTTGCTAGCCGGCATTTTGAGCCTCCCCTTCGGGCCTGGGCTGCAAACCCTAATTCAAAGAAAGACTCTAGTAGTGAAAACACAGAGCCACCGTTGCTTTTAGGGCCAGGACCTTCACCTGCTGCCCCTAATTCTCAAGATAGTTCAGGTACAGGACTGGACGCCAATGCCCAGACAGGTCCTCCTCGATAAACATGTTATGCTGTTTTCTCCTTTTTTTTAACCCCCCTCTTTCCGTGTGGGCACTCTTGTACCATCCTCTATAAACAGATGGTTTCTTAAGGCATCTCTTTTACTCATGGCCATTTTTCAATTGCTGCACGCTTTATCGTGGAATCTGTCAAACTACCTAACCTGGTTTATATGTCGTACTAAATGTCTGTCCTGTTTCCAACATTTCCATTCTCAATGTGCGGTAGCCATGTGATGGCATTATCTATCATGTCCAGTTAGCTGGGTTTACGTGCATTCTTCATCTCAAATTTAAATCATACCGAATAGTAGTATAACTGACTGTAGGTCATATGTTTTTTTCGTTAAAAAATATACAGCATTTTTTTAAGAGTTAATGTTAAAAAATGTCAGTCATTTTTAGTCTTTTAAGATATAATTATTATTTTTTTTAAAAATGTACATATTAATGAATGACTTTATATTTATTATAAAATGTTTAGTAGAAATAAATATAAAAAAATAGAATTTATTAGAAAGTAGGTAACTATTATTAAAAAGTGAGATCCAGTTAAAAATATTTTATATTTTTAAATGTAGGAGTACATTTTATGTTGATATTAAATAACTATATTAATAGTGTGAATACTATAACCTCTGATTTTATTGCCTTTCAAGCAAATTTTCGCATGTGAAGTATAAAGCGAGCAGCTGACTGGAGTCCTGATAATTAAATAAAATTGAGCTGAGCACACAGCAAAACCTGAGATCATCAAAGTAACAATCTCAACGTACCATTCTTTGTTCAATTTCGCTAATGTCGTCCTTCTTAAACTCCTAATGGAATCAACTCCTGATAAAATTACAAAAACTAGAGGACAGTCCACTAATGATATAGATAAGTTTGCAGATCTACGACAGAAGCTTCAACTTCATTTTGAAGAAATCCTTGCAACTATCTCTGCTAGGTTTATTGGGGAGGACAGAACGTGATAACATACCGTGAAGCCCTACATTTATTAAGGCTGCTAGAATCATCATATGCATAGCTATAAGCCTTTGGGCATATGGCCTTGAAAAGATGAGCAAATAAGGTAGGCTTGCAAGTCTTTGGATCTGCATAATTCCCTGTGCAGCAATACTTAGCTGATTGCATAGCCAAGCAAGCACTCTTACACCCCACAACCTTTCCGTTTTTCTTCACTTCCAAAGCTGATGGGCAGCAAATGTTCAAGTCCACCTCACAAGAAGCCACCCCGCACCCAATCCCACCCCCAACAGGCTTCATGGACACAGGCAAATTGAAGCCATCCACCAAGCTCACGTCATAGAAGTGTAACGGAGAAGATGATGATCCCAGTGTCATCTCCACCACAGTTGCCGGTGGCACTCCTCCCTTCCCTCCACACTGAAGTTTCCCGAAGCAGTCGCCGGTGACACACGAGCCTTTCCCATTGCTGTCAAAGCTACAATCCTGCCTCCCCCAGATTCTTCCTGACCATTTCTCTGGTACCTCAAATACTACTTCCTCGCCTATTCCAAGATGAAAACCTCCATCTTTTGGAGTTGGTTGCCCTGCACTGCCTTGTATTCCTGGCCACACATTTTCTACGCAGTTGTTCACTAGAATCAGCTGAGCCCCATCTGCAGTCACCAAGAAGAAAGTCAGAAATACGTTTGTAACATAATGCACTTGCATTTGAAAAGAGAGAGAAAAAAAAAGACATGATGTGTGCCAAAATGAGAGATAAATGGACTCCTTATTCACATTCTTCCATTTTTCAATGTATTAGTGGATAAACATAAAGGATTCAATTTGATATCTAGTACTAAAATAACAAGGAAAAATCCGTCTGTATAGCTATTTGAATTATGGAATCGACAATGGCACTACTTTTTGATGACCAAAATCAGAATGTTCCTATTATTTGTGTTGAATTAAAAAAAAAAAAAAACACATGAAAGAACTAAGAAGTGTGAAGAGAATGCAGTAATAGCAGTCGCTGTAGTAGAATTACCACCAATGGAGAACAGGGCAATCAAATAGAAGAGAGACAACAAAAGAAGGGGACAAGTTATTATTGCCATTGTTATGTTAGTTGAGAAGGTAATGCTACCTATATATGTGGTGGCAAGTACTGTCTCTTAAAACACAAAAGGGTTTTGTGACTTCCTCTCATGTCTTCTTGTCACTCTCATTTAGCTTTTTCACTTTATTTTTCTCCACTTGCCGTAACTTTTCTTTTTCAAGATAAGGAATATATGCATTCCTTCCTCCTTGAGGCTTCTGCATTACATAATTGGTTAATTGAACCTTTAGAATGTAGTAATGCTGATTAAAACATCATCAAACTTTTCTTTTACAAGAGAAACTTAAAAAAGAAAAGGGAATATTAACAATGCCATGTGATTTGTACGTACTTTGATTAGTTTAGGCAATGTCTAAAGTAGATACGAACCGATTAAAACCATGGGGGCAACAGAATTCGACTATTTTTTAGACCAAAGAGAACATCAGAATTCAGAAGAACAACGTCTCCACCAATCAATGTACATTAAGTTCTAAGCTTTAACTATAGCTATCATATGACAACTTTGCCATGAGAAAAACAATAGTGGTCTGTTGGAATGACAGCTTTTTGCTTCTTCTTTTTTTTGTTAATTTAAATAGCGATATATGAATATATGCTTGCACCTCCAAATAGGAAGGAATGTTTGTACGAGTCTATTGCCCTCTGCTATGATTTGCTTGAATCTTGTGGCATAAGATTTCCATTTATTCTAGGACTTCATGTGTTTGTGACTCAAAGTTGGATTAGAAGCGTAAAGGAAAAAAAAAAAGTATAAATCTGCTCAACAACCGTAGGAATCATGTTTATAATAATTATAGCACAGATTAAACAGATTTGTTAAGGAGAAAGAATAACAATGAGATTATTTTGATAGAAAGGAGGGACTTGGTCCAAAAACTATCGAGCTAAAGAACAACAAAGGGAAGGATTGAGATTCCAGACTCTCTTCCTTCACTAGGACCCTCAAAAACTAACATGTCTTGTCATAGAATTAGAAACATAGTATGAAAATCTCGATTAAACTGTCAGGTTAAGCAAATAAACCAATATTTTGACCGGTTTAATAAAATACTTTGTTTATAACTGATTTAATCACAATTTGATTATAATTTTGACCATTAACCCTTAAGTCAGTGCCTTTATCAGTTTAGTAATTGATCTAGTTTTTAATATTTTGGTCAGGAGAGTTTTCACTCTTAGGTCCCATATAAAAAATCTTAATACACAAAAGTATCATAAAATTATAAAACCACTTTGAAGTCCTATGTATTTTATCATTGCAAATTGATAACTTGAATAAAAGACATGAGATTACAAAGTAATGTACATGTCAACGGTTGAGATTTTCTCCTTCATAGTATCAAGGACAAAGGATATATTTTTTCCAATTAAGTCGTTACATACACAAAGGTTAAGATTTGAATTCTCAATTATTTATTTAAGTGATGAGAACTCTTACTACTCATGTCAACTCAAGTTGACATGTGCTTATTTTTAGAAGAAATAGAGAGACAAGCCTAAATGAAAAACCAATTCAACACAAGAGGGACTCTGATTCCAATATTCTGATCGCTTTGAGACTTCGAGCATAAATAAAAGAAAATGAAGTTGTACTTAAGCGTTGAAGTGCACTCAATGAATAGAAAATGAGGATAAAATCAACTCAGAATTAATTTGTGAATTAAATGGTCAGGACACAGCTTTGTGAAACAGCATTGTTTCGTTTCATAAGGGTTGTGAAGACTATCAATTAAACGAGTGATTGAAATATTTTCCACCTTGATAAAACGAGAACGTTTTGAAGGCCAACAAAAGTTGCCACAAAGGCTTACATAAAACCATAACAGACAAACCAAACACCCTAATGATCAAAATAAGCCAACATTAAAAGTAAGGGAAAATGATAATTACAAAGCTTTTGAAAGTATTAATGAAAATTATATATCTTTTGAAAATATTAATGACAACTGAAAATTTTTAATCATGGAAATGTTATGGGAAGATCATAATCATTATTTATAATTAAAAGATAAATAGTTATTAAAATATCCAATGGAATAATGTGACGAGAAGTTATTTGTTGTGAATTTCAATAATACTACTTGTAAATGAGTGGAAAGGCAATTATAAATGAATAGACATTTGTGTATGGTCACTTATGAATTTAAGAATAGTCACTTGTAAATTTTAAGAAAATCATCATTAGTGAATTTATGAAATTTTAATTGTGAATAAGTAGATAGTCCTGTAAATTCATGCATTTCTTGTGATTTAGGAATAATTAGTTGTGAATATAAGAATTATCACTTATGAATATATAGAATGTCAATTGTGAATATATGTGAATAATCTTAATTATAAATCAATGATTTAGAAAATTTTTCATGTTTCTTAATATCTATTTATAACTGACTTTCTATAATTTCACAAGTGGCTCTACTTAAATTCACAAGTGATGATGTATGTTTTAATAAAATTATCTATCTATTCAAAAATTGACACCTCATATCCACAAGTGATATCTATCTTAAATTCTCAACCAGCTTTGTTTTAAATTCATGAATGACTTGTTAGTTAATTCAGTAGTTTAATTAAAAATATAAACTATAATGCTTCTTTAACATTTCAATATTTAGAGGTCTTCAATTGTCAATTAATACCTTCACAAGGTGCAAAACTGACATTTCCTCCTAAAATTAAAATAATAGGATGAGCCTATTGAGAGACATTACTAGGGGTGGGAGGAGCTTACAACCTCGCGTACTTCATGTCCAACTTAACATATTTACTAAATAGATTCAGGTCAGGTTTAAATCTTTAATTAAACTTATTTATTTTTAAGGTCTAGCCTATGAGCCTAATATACTGGCCTATTTACACACACACTATGCAATATATTATAAATACATAAGTTTTATCATTTAATTTTTAATCAATCCATTCTTTTTTTAATTTTTGTTATTTTTTCAATCATATTGAATTATATATTAATTTTAATGTTATTATTTTATTATTATATTATATTATAGTTAGTAAGTCCACTCTATAATTGATAAATGAGATTATATATTATATAAATAATAGCTTTAAAGTACATTTAAAATGTTTAAAACTAATATGCGAGCGAGTGTCACACTATAGAGGAAGGCAGTAATCTAGTATTATATGGTAACGTTTTGTCTTCTAGATTTGCTTATAGAATGTTGTCTCACTTGTCTTTTTTGATTCACGCTCCCAATACAGCTGCTAGTGTTGATAATCTTTGGTCTTATGAACATCCACGCCATCGTTGCTATAAAGGCGGTAGATAATAATACGATGAACCAGAGTGGAGGTGAGATTTATGCTATGCTTGGTAGGGGGGAGAGAGAGAGAGAAAAAAAAAAAAGGAAAGAGCGGGAGAGAGAAGTAGAGAGAAAATGACATTTTTTCTTACTTGATTAAGGAGAGAAAAATGAGAGGAAAAAGAAATTGCAAGATAAAAAATAGGTGGAACTCACATGTTTTTATCTCTGACTTTTTTCTTTGAATATAATGAGATTTTAGAACTCAACTTCCAAATTTACTCATGAATATTTTGTTTCCTGCTTGTTGCCTACCTCCATTTTTATCCTTATTTCCCCTCTACTTTAAAATTAGATTATTATTATTATTACCATATATATATTTAATAATTTAAGAAATAAAAATTAAAATTAGACAAAATAATTTTTTGCTGGCATTGGATAAAAGAATTTGCAATTATAATTTTATTTAGTCAGTAATATATAATAAAAATTATATAAATAATATGTTAAAATATTAAATTTTATTATATATAAATATTTTTGTATAAATAATAAGGTTATTAGCATAGGGAGAGAAAATTACTCTCTCTTGATCTTTTCTTCTCCATTTTTTTCTTGTGAACCAAGCATTAAGAATAAGAGAGAAATTAAAACCCATAAATAATACCACTATGATACTATTTATAAGGTATTTCATAAAAATAAATAAATTAATTAATATAATAGCTTTTTAAAGCATATGAAAAACTCTCAAATACCTTATAAATAAGATTAGAAAGAATAAAAAAATTATAATTTTTCTTGGGAGTGGGAATGTGGATATAATCACAATCACGATCAAGTTGTTGCTTAATCAGTTGTTCATATAACTAAAATGACGCATATTCCCTTCAGTTTTATTTATTCTTTACTTTCAATATATTTTACTATGATCAAGAAAAAATTTAAAATTTATTATCTACCTTTAAAAATTTTATAAATTTTCAATATATATTAATCATGTATTTTATACTAACATTTAATGAAGGTAGATGCAAAAACTTGAAGTAAAAAGTCATAATGTTATAATTATTATATTATGTGAACGTTCATAAACTCTATCAACTCTTAATCTTTCATATCCTACATTCCACAAGACCAGAACCTCTCTAACGAATGATTTTAGGAGTTTTTATCATGTGAACACCCATAAACTCATGAAGGGTTATATGTTATATATTTATATGAATTAATCTTATAATTTAATATACAATAAATTAGTAAATTATTCTTTGAATTTTAGGTCAAATGACATCATAGACTTTGAATTCATTTGTTGTGCAAATTGTTTCATTAACTTTTAAAATTATGCAATATGACATTCCTGATATTAATAAGAGTTAACTTTAGTGATTAATTGACTAAAAAGTGATAAAAAACCTTAAAAAATTATAGAAAAGGATCAAAAAATTACAAATTATACTGTTTTCAGAAGTTAAAAGAATAGCTTACACAATAAATAAGTTTAAAATTTATAATACTATTAGATCTAAAGTTTACGAAATAATTTGCTAATTTACTCTTTAATATATTGTACCTCTTGGATATGAGTGAAGTTTATAAATAAAAGTTATGTGTCACATATTTGAAATATCTAAGTGAATCTCTTTTTTTTTATTTTTTTTCATTTCTCTCATCCTAAAATTCTCTTATATTTGACCAACGATATGTTTTATAAATATGATAAAAAAAAAAATCTCTCTGCCTTATT